CATGGAAGTGAAATATTTGAATTGTTATTGTATTCTGAGGTGCCTTATTTGTAAAAAAATCAGAATCAGAATACCTTTATTTGTCCCACAGAGGAGACTATGGCTATATATAGAGTGTATATAGGCTATGTAAAGTACAGAATGTACTGTATATAGGCTCTATGCAGAGTGTATATAGGATGTATGTAGATTGTATAAATGCTTTATATAGAGTGTTTATAGACTATATATAGTGTTTTTGAGCTATTCAAAGAATGTAGTCTGATAAACATAAAATATTTGTAGGCTGTGTATATAGAATGTATATAGTCTAGATTTTCATCTGACAGTTGCAAAGAATTGGCATACCCACAGCTCCACTATATCAATGAGTAGAATTATGTTAATGGTAATAATGCCCTGAAAACAGCAAAGACCATTTATGGCAGTCAACATAAATATAGAGGCAGTCATTTCCAAGATGAATTAGTTTTAATGCAATATTATGTTTCACACATATTGGTGTCCGTTGAAAAAATAAACAAATGTCATGGTTAGTATCATAACTATGAAACTATGTCCATTTATTTCTCCTAAATGTTAATTGAAAATATGTGGTTGTCATGTACTTTTCACTCGGTTGTAATTAGCTCAACCCTCTTGTGTTACTGCTGCTTACAAAAATACAAGAAGGCAACGGCAGGAAACCTCAATGCCAACGGCTAAAACACCAAACGTGAGGCTTCAAAAATGTCCCCAACCCAATAGGTGACGACACAGTCACTACATCCACTTCTTACAGCCTCTGATACAGGGATAATAGACGAGTCTAGGCAATAAAAACTAATATTATGTTGGATTGCTAGGCTTCCAGTAGGCAACTTTACAAACATGCTCAATGAAATGCAAAGGGGTTTTCATCTTTGGTGTCACAGAAATACTCAAATGAGTTACTTTTCTCAGAAGGTAATGCTAACCTTTTAAATGAACATGTATCTTAAAGTGACTTTCAGCTCCAATTCCGGGGACCACATTTTGCGTGTGGAGCAGAAATGCTTCCTTGTTTCCTGCTGGAAGATTCCATAAACTTTCTTAGGTGTTTTCTGTTCCAGAATGTATTGCTTGTTTGTTTAGCTTAGTATCATGTGTGGACCTTGGAATTGGGGTAAAAAGGGCTAGATAAGCCTATTTATCCACAGTTTTTTGAATGCCACATCTTAGGTCCATCAATTACAAATTTGAGTTGAGATATTTCAGTCCAAACCACAAAAACTGACAGACAAATAGGAAATATATTGTGGAAAACCAATGGAAAGTCTAGGAGCAAATGGTTGCATTTCCACTAAATACTAATTAGCTGCTTTGGTCTTCCTTTGTAGGGCTGCCAACCTCTATTTCCTGTTCCTGGTGTTACTGAACTGGGTGCCAGTGGTTGAAGCCTTTCAGAAGGAAATCACCATGATTCCTCTGCTGGTAGTTCTCACTGTAATCGGCATCAAGGACGCCCTGGAAGACTTCAGACGCTACCTGTTTGACAAGAAGGTCAACAACAATGTGGTGCGAGTGTTTTGTGGGTAAGTCAGCCTCTTTAGCTAAAATGTTCTGACTTTTGAACATGTCTGTGAGGCTGTGATACCATAAACTGGTATGAAAGAATATTGAACTTCATCATATTAGCCAACTTATATAAAGTACATAGTATGCAGAGTGACTAGCTTAGCATCAGAACTTCAAGGAGTTCACAGCTGCATGATAAGTAAAATTGCTGAGTGAACCACAGCTTAACTGGATAATGATGGGCTTGTCTTATTGGCTCTGCTCCAAACAGTTGATTCAGAAAATGTTCAGTTGCCATATTACCAACTGCTAATGAAATATTGTTTAAACAAAATCCAGAGCAACATTCCTACTTTCCCAGCATGCAACAGCAACAAAGACAAACTCTATACCGACAGTAGTCCCTTCACAGGGTATGAAGGTGGCCCGGCATCATCCATTTATTAGCCTGCTTTATAATTCTTTTTTTAGCTCAATAAACACATATAGTATTTTAAAGGACATTTGTTACAGGACCAGGGCACCAACAGAAGGATTGCTTTATTGGGTTGGAATATTGGCCACTTTAACCATTTCATGACCTCAGATATATCTTCGTTTATTGACCACTCCTGGATAGTTTAGTTAAAATAGAAGCTATTCTTGTTGATATTATGTGATTTTAATAGTTATTTAAACCAAACAACAATTGGGTCTTTCGTTACAACCCATATGAACATCTTCTGATCTTTATGAGGAGGACATTGTTTCGTTACAAATGTTTTTTACCAAAAAGAGCCAAATTGGTTGTTATGGTGGCTACAGTTAAAAGACACACAGAGAGTGTTCTAGTATTCTAACCCACGAGTGGGACATGCACACTCCAGTGCAGGGCTGGCCCCTGGCACTGGCGAACTAGGCATTCGCCTAGGGTGCCAGATCTGGAGGGGCGCTGCACTGGGAGAAAAAAGAAAAAAAAATTAAAATTAATTTTTTTTTAATTGTTATCCTGCCTAATTTTCTGCCCTTGATGTAATAAATGTACATTAATAATTGAATAAAGTAAACACCCTTTGCACCCCGGGCCGGCAACATTTTGCATTTGCCCTGTACCATCGTACAGGGCAAATGCAAAATGTTGCCGGCGCTGTAAGTGATGAAAGTGGGGGATGTTGACTTATCTGGCGCCCGCAGCTCACAGTGCGAGCGAGCCTCCGAGCGAGCAAGAGAGAGAGAGAGAGAGAGAGGGCGCGCATCGGTACCGCGGATTGTTGTTGGATTGAGGCTGATAACTACAGCTCAGTGAGGTAAAGGACTCTGAGGGTTTAGATAGTTCACTTCTCTTAGTCTCAGTTATCTCAGTGGGTCTCAAACGGTTTGGTCACCATTTATGTAAACAAATATTTCCAAGGCACACCTTTATAGTTATTAGGATAAATAACAACAGGTTTCAAATCATTCCAATGTATAGGCTACTATAGGACAGTAAACCAAACATATCGTTTAAAACTGGAGATATTAAAAATATGCATGAATAAATAAATGTTAACTGGTAAAATAAGATATGAATGAACAACACAAATAAAATATGTTACATGTATTTGTTATTGGCTATGGTAGGTTATTGGTTATGTTCACATACTTATTTGATTATTAAAATGTAAACCGATCATTTTCATACGGGTGTTTTAGAGTTGTACCCCCATCAGGGGTGCCCAACCTTTTTTGAACCGAGAGCTACTTTTAAAGTTGCCAGTCTGCCGAGATCTACCAGTCCAAATAGAGAGGCGTAGCCATTACTGACAGCCTACTACCAGGTAAATACACACTTCTACTTGTATAAAACTGACTTTGTACGATTAATACTTCATAAAATACTGCAGATCCTTTATTTTACCTCTTTCTAATCTACACACATACAAGTATTTAACTGAAGTTACACAACAGTGTTGTTGATACAGAGTTGGGAGTTTATTCACACGTCACAAACTACAGTGGGTCATGTTTTCAAGAAACATTGAACAGTGCTGCCACATATGACACAGGAAAAAAAGAAAAGACTGAACCCTTTCTTTGCCATTATATAAAAATAGTGTTGCTACAAAAGTATAAATTAGTTTTACTAATAAGACAACTCAGATCTGAAGCTACACAGGAATCTGCTGCCAGAGTGCAATAAAAAAGAGAAAATTAATAGAATCAAACCCTTTTCTTTTTTTTGCATTTTAGTAGAGTATAAAAAGAAATGCCTTTAAAATAGGATGCAAGCAACACTAGTTTCTTAACCTGAATTGATAATAGACTATAATCAATTTAAACAGAACAGATCTTAAAGTTTGCATTCTTATACCATTTTGTACAATAATTATAATGAATAAGTTCAAACAAATTAAAACTTACAGCTGATTAATAACGGTATCTAACTTGAGTTTTTATTATATCAAAAACCTGTTGAAATGCTACTGCTATTTTTACTGTCTCCAAAAAGCGCGTCGGCAGCCTCCAGGAATGCTTCTTTCACATCTTCGCGGTCTTTGACAGACTTCATGTGTTTTGCAAGAACGTGACTGACACGATAAGATGCTCTGGTAGCAGCCTTGCTCTTGTTGTTGGGCCTGGTGAAAATGGACTGCTGTGCATTTAGCTGTCCTTTCAGGTCCCTCACCTTTTGGGAGCGTAGGACAGAATTAGGAGGGAATTCCGTCTCGTAGCGTTTGTGCACTGTTTTGAAATGCCGCTCCTAAATTACCCTTCTTCGATAAAGCCACGCTCGCATTGCAGATGAGAGACAGATGGACTTTGAATTGGAATAGATACAAAAATAATCATCCTTCCACTCGGAGTGAAAATTATATATTTGGGGCTCTTTTGCTTCTGCCATAATTGCGGTCGTGTGTGTGTGCGGACTGTCACTCCTGTTGACACGTTGACACGGACAACGTCAGCTAACTAGTGCCCACTGCCCACCAGCCACGCCCCGACACATGGGGTCACGCCAATCACAAAGCTTTGATGCGTTCAAGTGCATTATTCTGGCACAGGAAGATTATGTTATAGGACATTAACGATAAAACAGAATATTGTTGTTCTATTTTTAGACACATCTCGTGATTGACTGGGAATCTCCCCGCGATCGACCGATCTTTCCAGGGGGGCATACCCCCGGACCCCCCTAGAGGATGTGACGTCCACCCCCCAATTAAAACATGTTCATACAATACTGAATACATTTGAAACCTTCTTTATGTATATAACCAACATGTCAATATGTTTCAGTTTTTGTAGTGTATTGGTCTTTTGTATAGATTTTTCATTTATTCTTTATATATTCTATTGTGTATTGCTTGGAGGGGAGGGGAGGGGGGGGGGGGGGGGCATAATCTCGCCTAGGGCACCAAAATGTCTAGGGCCGGCCCTGCTCCAGTGTCTGTTGCTACAGTCTTTTCCTTTACAAACACCCTGACCACTCCCTCTTTTACATATGTGCCTACTTCCCGGACTGGAAATAATGCTGCCAGTAATCCAGGCAGCATTATTATCCATTATTATCCATTATTATCCATTATCCAACACAGCAACATCTTCCTTGTGCCTTTTTTGTATCAGTTCAAAGAGCGGTCTTTACAGTATGTTAGAATGTATATAATATACTATCAGGAAGACATATCCAACCATTCTATTCAATTTCACTGGACATATTAATCTGTCAACTCAATCTTGAAGGATCGTCTGGAAATAAGAGACCGCACAATTTCTTCTGCTGCTCCCTCTTGCTCCTATATTTGATTGCACAATCCGTCTTTTGAGGCCGTTGTAAAGCTTGGACCTTGAGTTTGTTTACAGCCCTTTGAGGAGGAGCGAAGTAATCTGCCATCGAGGTATTCATTCATCCCTCCCATTCCGAACAGACAGATCTTTACTTAAGGTGTCAGGAGGATTTATTCCAAATATGACAGGTCTGTTGAAAGAAGGGACGGCATGAATGTGAAAGGAAAGTGACAACGGTTGCAGGCAGGACAGGCTAGTGAAGGATTAAGCAGAACTGAGTCCAATGGAGCAGTGACCTCATGTATAGCTTGGAACGTCTTCCTTCTTCCAAGGAGCGCTTGCAGAAGCAGAGGACAGTGGTACCTTCCTTCAACGCAGATGAGGAACTGAGTCTACTCTTGAAGTCGTACAAAGGCAACAAGATCCGTACCTCAAAGTATTCCCTCCTCTCCTTTCTGCCGAAGAACCTGTTTGAGCAGCTCCATCGTGCTGCCAATGTCTACTTCATCTTCCTCGCTGCTCTCAACTTTGTTCCTGTGGTGGAGGCCTTCCAGCCCGAGATCGCTGTGATTCCCATCATACTGGTGCTGGCAGTGACCGCGGTCAAAGACATCTGGGAGGACTACCACAGGTATAAATCGGATCATTCCATCAACAGGCTGCCGTGCCATGTCTACAGCAGGTAGGTTCAATGTTTATTTCTGAAAAGTCTTGATTTGGCAAAACAGAACCTCTAAATGCAAGCAGTGGTGGCAGAAGTACAAAGATGTTTTACTTAGTGTTATCCTGATAATGTACATAAAGTACTCATTATGCAGTATGGCCATTTATTTTATTCAGTATCTTGTATTACACGATTATAATTAGTGATTCCTTAATGTTTACTTCCTTTTAATTTTGCAGTTTATAAAGGTGGAGCTAACCAGTTATCTTAGTCCATAATATACTTCATAATTCATCAGTCGATTTGACTGTTAGATGAATAATATGACCATGCTAAGTAACTGATCTTTTCAAATAAGTGTAGCGGAGTAAAAAGTACAGTATTTGCTTTCAAATTTGAGTGGAGTACCAGCATAAAGTAGCATAAAAGTAAAGTACAAGTATCTCAAAATTGACAGTACTTGAGTAAATGTACTTGGTTACTTTCCACCACTGTGTGCAAGTTACAAGTCCTCTATGTTAACAAAATTAGCACAAAATGTAAAGTTTTGGCAAAAATTACTTTTACTGTCTTTTTATGTTGGTTTACCATTAGTTGTCAAAGTGGTAGAAAAATTCTGGTCAAGACTTCCAATAAATGTGCTCTTTGACAATACAAAAAGTCAACAGTCAAATGTGGTCAATTAACTTTTGACAAATGAAGGTAGATTACAGCTGGCAGCTGAATACATACCGCCGCCTTACAAACCCCTCCCTCAGGAAATAAAGGCAATATTGACAGGAGGGCATTAAAGAGTCCTCTCTGTAACACAGTGATGTAATGTGCCGTAGAAAATGAACACAAAGAATGTTCTGCCATAATTCCAGGTAAACATTTCTTATTTAATGTTTTCAATGCTGTAGGTTCCATTGTATTCATAGAAATCAGACAATCACAAATCATTAACTATGTCAGTAAAGTGTGTATTAAGGGCAATAACAGTCTAAACTAGAGAATGCAATTCCTGAAGAAATTGCTAGTGGGAATGCTTTATGCTGAAAATCTGACGCTGAATTGCTATGCTGAAATGTAATGTGTAAGAAGAAAGTGAAGAATTTAGATTGAAATGATACATGAACACTGGGGGCTTGAATGTGTGATGAGAGAAGAAAAGAAAGTAAAAAGGCTTGGAAAAGCAGCAGAATATTTGAACTGCAAACTTTTGAACTAACTTGATGGCGAATGATCTGTCGCCATGCCAACGGCATTTGATGACACCCCATAATACGCTTAGATGTGTGGATGGCTGCATCGTTACCAAACCTGTGAAGTTTTTGGCCGTTTGGAGCATTTTCACTGAAGTTATGAGAAAACCGTGTTTCATGGTGAGCATTGTGTTGCCATGGCAACGGCATTTGAAGAAATCTCAAAACTGTCCCGTAGATGTCTTCACGGCTGGACTGTTAGCACGCATGTGAAGTTTGAGCACTTTTTGAATATTTTCATAGGAGTTATAGCGACATCGTCTTTTATGGCGAGGGATGCGTTTCCATGGAAACGGCATATGGTGAGATCTCAGATTTGGCGTAGAGCTGTTGAGGGCAGGACCATTAACCATTATCTGAAGTCTGCTGCTCTGAGCATGTCAGTTGGAGTTATGACATCATCGTGTTTGATGACACAGGTGTTTATATTTGAGCTAACGAGGTGTCCAGAGATCAAAGGTTTCCATTGTTCTGAATGAGATATAAATCTCTTACATGTGAACGTTTTGTTGAAGAACCGTAACAGATATTGGTGAAATTTCAAAGCGTGAAGCATCTCCAGGACCTTGAGTATCTGAAGTGTGCTTTTTGTGTACTTTCGGGTCAATAATGTGGCCTTTTTGGCAGATTGACTAAAGGTTGCTGCTGTGAGGAAATATCAGCCTGAAATTACAATGGGTTTTAATGGAGACATGTTGAAAGTTTTTGTCACTTCATGCCCTCAAGAGGCATTTTGTTTAATTATTTTTTGCTTAATTATTTGTCATTTTTCAAGCTACGAGATGTTTTCCTACGCTTGTCATGAAAAATTATGTCTCAGTAAATATGAAGGCAAATTTCAAGATTTCCTACACTCTAGCTGTGACATCACGCACTCTAGTTAATGTTAAAATCTGAAGAAGGCCTCTGTACCAAGGTCTGAACAATATTTAATATCTCTAAAAGTAAGAATCAGATTTAAAAGTTGTGTTACACGAATAATGTCAGAAAGATGTGTAACATTTTAAAGTTGGAATGAGGTTTCTGAGTGAAAGTATGAATGAAAAGTTAGCAGTTGAAGTCGCATGAAGATTTGTTGAAGTCTGAAGATGTTCTCCATTGACTTCAATGGTTAAAAATGTGATGAATTATGGGATGTGTCTCTGGAATTATGAAAGGTATGAATGATAAAAGTAATAGCCATCGATTCCCGACCGAGCTGAACGTTTTGATGTTTGAACGGAGTTTCTGCGATGTTCAATGCGGGAGGAGAAGACCGGCAAAATAACGGGCGGAATAATAAGAATAAAGAATTTCGTGCGTAGAAGAACAGATAGTTGGAATGCTGTTAACAGCATTCCCACTAAATAAAATGAAAACATTTTTTAAAGAAGAGAAAATAAACTGACATGGCAAATATCCATCCACTTTACATAAAACACAAGTGGAGCTGAAATCGACTATTTAAAACTAAATACAAATAGACGGTAAAAAGTCAAGAAAGGGCAAACTGAGGTTGAAAATCCCCCCCCCCCCCCCCCCCCCCGACACTCTTATACGATGCATTTTCCTGTTTTTGTAGTCTTTTTTTGTCAATTATAACAAATTCTAATTTATTTCATATTGTGTATTCTTGAGATACACTTTTGATATATATGTTTTCTACTGTTGATATGTTTATATGTACTGTTTTTTTATTTTATTATATGTTTAACTTATGTAATGTCTGTAAATAATTCTCAATGACATAACATTGCAAAGACCTGCCCGAACAGCTTACACTGTGAGAGTCATATTTAACCACTGATTGTATGTGTGAACAAATAGCAGACTCCTCCCTTTTGGTAAATACCAGCAGGAGCTTTCACCCCTAGAGTTTATAAGCTTCAGTTGACATATACAGTGGAGGAAATAAGTATTTGATCCCTTGCCGATTTTGTTAAGTTCACCCACTTAAGAAATTAACAGTCTATAATTGTAATGGTAGGTTTATTTTAACAGTGAGAGTAAGAATTCTGATCAGGCATTAGCTCTACCCCCCCTGTTTTTTAAAGCTAAGGACCCAAAGTCCGCGTTTCTCTAAACAGGGCTGGAATAGAGGGATATGAGGGATGTCTAAAATGCATGATCTGTATTTTGAGCAAAACACATCATAGACATGTTTTTATATATTTGTATATATCTGAGACCCATAATATATGCCTTAAAATAGCATGATAGGTGCACTTTAACATATTAGCACCACTTTATAATGGTTGAAGCATAAAAGCAATCGTCAGAAATAAAAAGCTAATGTAATGAATTACATGATGGTCACATGACTTCAAGTCACCACCGCTAAGCTAAAGGATGTGATGACGTTTAGAAGTCTCATTTAGCCTTGTTAGCAACCGCTATTTTAAGTCACAAAAAGACAAGTAAGACACTTGTTCACTGACATATGTTATGTCATTGCACAAAACATGAATATCTCGTTAGCCTATATTAACCGCAGACATTATTTCAGAAATTGAACCAAAAACTAATTTAAAAAAACCTTGATACGAAGAGTCCGGAAGTGCTAAAATGCTAACTCATTTCCCGTGTTAGGACTTATTTCTGCACTATTCTCTATGGATCAGTTTAAGTTATAATCGACCTGTTCTTTTTCCTTTTCTGTATCCTGTGGTGTACCCCAAGGCGTCATCTTAGGCCCATGTTGTTTGCATCATAACAAGTCATACACGACGGACCTCAAAATGTAGAGCTATTGATTAAATGCATGTCCTCCACTGCCTGGAATCTTTCTAATCTCTGTCCAATAAAGTGTGATTGCTTGTAAAGCCTCACAAAAATGGACTACTCTGCATGACTCTGCATTATTGGCATTGTATTAATGTGTCCTGTCTGTAACCTCATGTACATTAAACATGTTGTGGTCTCTGTTCTTTTTCTCAGTATTTCATCATTTTCCTGAGCTGTTTCTTCTTTCTCTTCTCATATTGTCCCACAGTAAGCAGCAGGCCTACATTGAGCAGCGCTGGCAGGATGTGCGAGTCGGAGACTTTGTCTGTCTGTCCTCTAATGAAATCATTCCGGCGGACATGCTGCTGCTGTATTCCTCTGACCAGCGTGGGGTTTGTTACATTGAGACCGCCAACCTGGACGGAGAGACCAACCTGAAACAGAGACAGGTGGTTTCTGACCTCCCGTTGCAGGTAATAATACATCAAGTAGATAAATACCATGTGAAAACATGAAAACGTACCTTATGTTTCAATAATGTTGTATGCGCTCATACATTTGTGAATTCTGCTTCCCAAGGACTGACAAAAGTTTCGAATTATTTTTACTTTACAAAACGTAGACTAAAATGTAGACTTTATCACATTTACAGTATGTTTCTTTAAATGCAATCATTCTCCCCAATGTAATTTAATTACAAAGAGCTATGTTTTTGTAACCATCCCAATGGCATACATTCATGGTTAGAGGTAGGAGGATCCTGTTTTACAACAAATGTAAGCCAAATGTAATAGACAGGTAACATGAAAGCAACTGTGGCTTTTAGGATAAAAACTCAAATGACATGTAATATTAAAAAAAAACGTTAAACATTACCCCTATACAGAGCATAAGGTGAAACAAGAACTCTTACATTAGATGTAGAATGGATGTATAAACTTGACCTTTTTTGTGATAAAGATTTTTTTGAAGCAGCATTCATTATTTCTTAGTTTTTGGTGGAGGTGAAACATTTTAAAGTAAGTTTTTCCAATTTGCAGTGTTCTTTTATTCCCCACTCATTAGGATAATTAGGCCTAGCAAATCTGCAGTTAGTTTAGTTCAGGAAGCTAGATCGTTTATGATGGGATGTGTTTGGATGAATGATTTAAATGGCAAACCTAAACAAAATGACTCCTTAATGTTTATTCTTGACTATGAGTTCATTGTCAAGTATTAACCAGAGGGTGTGTGTGACTGTGTGTTTTCCAGGGAGTAGAGTCCCCCCTCGAGAGCTTCCACAGTCGTATTGAGTGTGAGAACCCCAACAATGACCTCAGCAGGTTCAGAGGTTACATGTAAGTTCCCCTTCATCTGCCTGTAGAACACTGCCGTGACACTGATACATTGGATCATTATGACCTCATCTTTATATATGAATTGAGGCCAACATGTGTCATTGCTTTGTGACTACAGTCTTACAGTATTTTCATCTTAATCAAAACGAGTTTGTTTGAACATCTCAGAAATGTATGGAACATGTATGTCTGGAATATTGCCATTTATAAGTCTGGATTAATAGATATATCTCATATTTTAGTATTTTTTGACATTATTATTATTATCATCCCATTGTAACAAAAAGAAAAACAGATTCCAACAGATTTTCCTCATCATATTGTTATGCCCCTTTAAAGTGTAACATCCTTTCAAAACAAAGTCAAACTATCCCAAAGTCATATAACTATTTATTCATATATTTATGATATTGCTATATTTGAAATGAACAAAATAAGGCCAAATGAGCCTTCTAAAACCATCACACTCTCTAAAACACACCTCCACTCTCTAAATGTTACCAAAGTCAATTCCTCGCATGTGTAAACCTACGTCTGATTCTGAAATAAAGTGTATTGTGTTGGTCTGCAGGGAGCACCCCAGTGGGCTCCGAGTGGGCCTCCACAACAACAACCTGCTGCTGAGGAGCTGCACCGTCCGCAATACTGAGACCGTGGTGGGCATCGTGGTGTACGCTGGTGAGAGCAAACACACACTGAGGGTCAACACACTGCTCACATTGGGGTCTGCTTTGTGAGGAATACATCACGTGTTGAAAGATACATCTGATATCCTGCAGGTCTTCTTTTCTGTTTACTTACATTACTAAAATGTTTGGGCAGTCTGTTCACCACAAGCAGGAAAGGTAACCAGCTGTTTCTGTTGACATGAGATCCAATTACATTCATAATGACATTGACTTTTCTTCGTGAATTCAGAGGAGATAATATAAATTCATTAAGTGCAGTACAGCATTATTTTTTATTTTTTTTGATTTTGATAACATCACCAGATACCAATACATAATTGTATAATTGACCTGACTGATCCTTCATGGGATTATTCTGATTCACGATAAAACTATCAACCAAACATAAACTTGACCAAACATTAACCTGGGTATTTTAGGACCTCATTAAGTGTTTCTTCATCAGTTTTTTTAAAGCTCTTATAGCAGCGACAGCCGAGGCAACATCAATCAAACCGTGTTTTGAAAGAATAAATGTAGCCTTAGCCCTCCTGTTCCCTGACTGTTAGTGTCAGGTTTACTGTAGTCTGTGAACCCGAGCTTCTTTGTGTCTCCTCTGAATGGAGAGTAGAACCAGTCAGGTGAGTTGGTGCAGGCGCCCGCCCCCACTACCAGCATCGTACCATCTGCAGGAATTTGAGCTTGACCAAACTCATTCTGTCTAAAGAACAAATTCAGTCATGTCATTTTCTGAGCTGAAATTCAGGAATCTCTTATTTGATATGTAACATTAAAGGACATAGACATTGAGTCTGCCTGCATCTCCTGTCTCCCTACAGTTACACTACTGAGTGCGCAGAGCCAGTTTTTCCTGAAATATGTGTTATCTTATTTATTCAAGATTCAAAGGCTTTATTGTCATATGCAAAGTAGCTACAGTGTAGAAATGGCAATGAAAAACTCCCGAGCTCTTCCAACATAGCAACATAGTTATATAAGACTTAAAACAATAAAATAATATAAAATAAAAATAGTGCAAGAAGAAACAGAGTTGAATAGAATAGTGAAGATTATGTTGCAGATCAATGTGAAAGTAGTGCAGATGAGCTAAATGTCGCAGAGAATGTTGTAAGTGACCAAGTAAATGCAGGAGTCTGTATAAATGTAAAAAGAATAAGATATAGGAACAGAATTTAAAATAAAATATTTTACAATCAAATAAAATAAAATACTATATAAATACTACATAATTAGTCAGTTAAGACTCAAAGCCAAATCGTATGTGTACATATACTATCTGCTATTGGTAGTGCTGCAGCTGTAAAACCTTTGTACAGCCAATCATACAAGAGGACCAACGGCAGCCAGGTTTGCTTCCTCTATTTCTGTGGGGAAGAGATTTTGGAAAATAACAGAAATGTTGGTTCCTGAAATATCTTTCAAAATGACCATCTAATTAAAACTAGGGTCATTTTGACCATTTTGTCAATCTTGTCTAACCCAGCAACAGTAACTAAGAAAGGGGGGGACTTTGGATCTCTCAAATCCAGAATCATAAAATAATATATTATTACTCTAATAGGGGAACAGTTGAAACTGCCAAATGCAGGAAGGAGGACGGCTAGCAATAAATCACAGGCTGCCTGATGAGGAAATGAATAGACTTATTATCACAGCCCAGCTGACTCTAATTACATTTGTGTGTTTCATTTCATGTATGTTTTGCTTAAGTATAGCCTAGTCTTTGGAATGTAAAAATATACATATTTTAGAATTTTTCTTTTTACATATCATTTAGCTGACGCCTTTGTCCAAAGCGACTTACACTAGGTGCAAAAACCATAAAGGATTATTTCAGCAATAATGATATACTATATACATCCCATGGATGGAGGAAATAAGGCAGTGTATGAAAAGTGTAGTCTTATTCTTTCAACTTTATGCCAAGAAACAGACTTGCAGCAAATAAAAAGTATAAAAAAATAAAAATAAGGTATAATGCAGGCTTTACTTTAAGATCGTGTAATCAACCAACACATACGTTACCAGAGTAAAGTTATAATAATTGTTCCATGAGTGTTTAATAAATGACCACTGTCTTTTAGGATATGAAAATAAACCTGCCCACCTCTTTGAGTTTTAAAAAAAATGTTCATTGATGAATAAACCATACCTTCGTTTTCTATTCCATGAGAAAAATGTGCCTTTTAATTAAAAAAATAGTCATATATTAAACAGCGCTGTATCTATTATCTCTCTTGGCTGTTTAATGACTGTTTTAAATGCCATTTTACAATGTGTTCCTTTTGTCTTAAATGCTTTGGTTTGTTGTAAAGCACTTTGAACTGTGGTCGAAGTGAGTGAGATAAATAAACGTGCCTTGCCTAAATGCTTTAAGTCACAAAGCATACACACAAAAAGTCAGTTTGGAATCAGAAGCAGGGTTTACGCATGAGAAATCATTTATAAAAACAACATTTCAGTTGAGTGTGTGGTGGAGCTGTAAAGAAGATGTTACGTTGCCACTCTTTGTGCCCTCTGTCTGTGTAATGGTGTGTGTACTGTAACTGAGCATGTGTGTGTTCTCCTCTCTCTGTGTGACCCAGGTCATGAGACTAAAGCCATGATGAACAACAGCGGGCCGCGGTACAAGCGCAGCCAGCTGGAGAGGCACCTGAACACCGTGGTGCTGTGGTGTGTGCTGCTGCTCTTCATCATGTGTCTCACTGCTGCTATAGGTGTGTGTTCCCCCGCTCTCACTCCTCTTCACAGCTGTGGACAGACAGCAGCAGCACTGTAGTGTTAAATGAAACAATAAGCCACAGGAGGACTGTTTGGCTGCTGAAAGATCACTCTAAATGACTGCCTCTTGCTCTTATAAAACTGTTACCACTTATACCTTGCAAGGTTTCATAAAATAAACACACAGACCCTAAAGAAATGTAATGTTTTATACATACAAACACTTTTTTTAAGCAATGTTAAGCAACATACATGGTGCTGTGGAAAGCATGTTGGTCTGCTTGTTCACATTTCTTATTGAATTGTGCCATTGTTTAAGTAATTTAGATTCTTGTTAGCTGTTTTTCTGTTGCTAGGTGCTAGCTCACATCATGTTACATCAGTTACTAAAACCACATTTGTGTCATTCAGCTGCGTTAGTATGCTAACTATAACTTGAGAAAAGTTAACATATTAGACTCATTATTGAGAGATCATTATTTAACATGTCTACTTCTATCAATTATCCACTTGTGTCCTCGCCTCAGTTCATGTTCTTGTAGAGACAGCGGCATTTGGCCTTGTCTGAAGATTAGCTGTTTTAGAGACGACCCCTTCTTACTACTGAATATGCAACCCAGTCTCACGGCATTTCGTGTTATAGTCACGAAATTAATTTAATCTATTGATTCGTGTTCACCAACACGATTTTCGCATTTTTTTCGTGTCACACAGAACGATTTTAAATGCAATGTATTTCTATTGGTAGTATGTTTCGTGCCTGCACCACGTCTTTTTGTCCGGTCGGGTCTTGGAAGACCGGAAGCTGTGTGGTTCATAAAAACATGTTCTTACTCAATATCTTACCCTAAGCCTAACCCTATCCCTTTTATTTTAAATTGTATAATGTCGGAGTTTTTTTGCCGTCAGTGAGGAAAAGAAATGGGGTATTCATCAATACTGAAATCTGTATTTTATGTCATCTTTTTTTCCTTCTAATTTGTTATTATTTGGTGCAGGCACGAAACATACTACCAATAGAAATACATTGCTTCTAAAATCGTTCTGTGTCAGAATACTGAAATCTGTATTTTTTTAAATCTGTTTTTCCTTCTAATTTGTTATTATTACATTGCTTTTAAAATCGTTCTGTGTGACACGAAAAAAATGGCGAAATCGTGTTGGTGAACACGAATCAATAGATTAATTTCGTGACTATAACACGAAATGCCGTGAGACTGGGTTGGAATATGTGTAAATCATGTTGTAAACATTTCTCCTTCAGATAATGATAGGACCAAATATGGTATGAGTCAGAGGGTAGATCTTATCTGTCTCTATGATAATGAGGATTACCGGCTTCCTGTTGGTTGAAGGAGCGGAACAACTTCAGTGTGGGCTGGGCAGAGGCTGTCACTGCTGTGTCTCAGAGCATATTATGCTGACTGATTAGAAAAAAAACTAACATATTTTGCTGATTATAAATAAATAAACATATACCTATGCTTACTAAATATCATAACTTAAGAAAAGTCAGCAAATGATGCCAAATATGGCTAGAGGACAGTGAACCAAGCCCCCAGGAAGTGCGCCGGACTCTGATGAAAATATTCGTGCTGGCCAAACGGCGGTACTACACTTCCTTTTGGTTGCCAGGCCCGGAAACACTTTTTCCCATTGACTTACATGGGGAAAGAGTGGTCTGTAAATCGTTGGATAATTTTTTTTAAACTAAATAAACTACCCAGTATGAACACTTGTATAGCCCTTATTAAAAACATTCGTTCCTCAAGTTGTAAAATGTGCTAATAACGTTATTCTGAGAGTTATTTCCCTCTGCATTATGAACGCGCATCTAACCCACGGGACCGCGCCGCCCGGCACGTTCATGTTACGTGTTCAGCACTACATGCGTTTATCTTTACCCATGGATGCACAATAAGAACGGACCCATATCGCCTTACTGCCAGCCCACGGAGCTGTAATAATGGATATATTGCACATGTTTGCTGTAATTCATCATTTATAACATATTATACTACATGGGCTGTATGATTAAATCTTGTACCGTAAATGTTGTATTAAATAAAGTTAATATTACCGACGTAGATTAACGTCCCTGTAGCTTCTTATTGCACTAAGAAGCTTATTGCACTGTGTGTATATATATATATATATATATATATATATATATATATACAGTGCAATAATTCTTTCATGCTAAATGAAGCTCTGTTGCTTGGATATCACTAGATCCTGTTACAGCGTAATATAAAAGTACATAACGATTGATGTGTAAATTAGCATAATTACTAGCTAACCGCTAGCTGCTAACTGCCGCCTCGTTAATATCAAATCTATCATAACAAACATTACCATGCTGTCATGAACGTGCGGTGCTGTTACGTGTACGCAAATTGACGTGCTTGATGTGAACGAGCATTTTGGGGGGCATGGTTAAAGTTGCGCATGCGCTATGAGCGCACATACGGGTACTTCTCAGGCATGCCGGGGTAATCTGTGACGTTTCGCTCTCTCAAAAGTTGGGCCATTTTATCATCATGCGCGAATGAGCAACTCTCATAGGAATGAATGAGGCCCCGCCTCCCACGCTGTATCCAGTTCTTATTATACATCCATGCAGTGAACACATAATGCTAGCTGTAACGAGAGAAATGTGAACATGCTTTGCTAACTATTACTTGACAAAAGGTTTATACTCATTATAACTAGAGAAAAGTTGACATTTTATGCTAACTATAACTAAAGAAAAATGAACATATCATGCTGACTATAACTTAAGAAAAGTGAACCTATGCTAACTATAGAAACGTGAACATATTATTCTAGCTATACTATACAATGTGAACAATTGTGCTAACATTTATGCAAAAAATTAACTTGATGATCACTATAACAGACTAATTGAACATATGATGCTAATTGTAGAGAAAATGAACGTAGTTTGCTCACTATAACTACAGGAAATATCATGCTAACTGTGACTAGAGCAACGTGAAGACATTTTGCCTTTATTTAACTGGAGAGAAATGTATAAGAACATGTGGAGCACTTTAAAAAAAAGCCAGTCACTAAAAGACCAGCTTCAGTTTGTATCTGCTCACAGTGTTTGCTGTTTCAGGTCACGGCCTCTGGCTAAAGAACCTCAAAGACCCGGTCTTTGAGGTGGATTCGGAGACTTCTCCCGCCCTGGCTGGATTCTATGTCTTCTGGACTATGATCATTGTGCTGCAGGTACACACGTTACCATTTCACCAGAGACAATTACATTTTTTAAATCTTATTAAAGACTCTTGTTAGCTGCAAGTAAGTGTTGATTTCCAATGTGTTGGTCACAGCAAACACATTTTTGGTTAAATGCCAAAAATAAGGTCTGTGGTTAACACAAACTGAAGAGATTGTAACGTTTTGTTCTACAAAAGAAAATATGTCAGTCAATACCCTAGTGATAAAAGCGGTTGTTCACAAGTGACTAAATGAGACGACTAAACTTCATAGTGTCGAACATTAGCCGCCTTTAGCTTAGCAATGGTGACATGAAGTCATGCTACTGTAAACGTTTTTACTTCTGAAGATTGCATTGACACTTTAAAGGGGACCTATCATGCAAAATGCACTTCTTCATGTCTCTTCTACATGAACATGTGTCCCCTCTGTGTACAGAGATTCTGAAAGTTTCAGGAAAAAAGACCCCCTCTCTTTTTGTCCTGATCCATTTATATAAAAACCTGTCTGAAAATGAGCTGATCAGATTTTGGCCACTTTATGATATCATAACGATTTTTTGGCTTGTGTGACCATTAGCCAATCACCAACCAAGGTAACCCCCCCCCCCCCCCCACCTTATCACCTGAATCTCCTCCTAGAGCACCATTGGGTTCTTTTTAACCAAATATCTCTCAGAGGGGCGTGGGGAGGGGTTTCTTATTTTCATCTGAAGTAACAGACAGAGAATCAGCACTTTTGAAACAGGGCTGAAACAGAGGGGATTATGGGATGCTGCAATGATCTGTTTGGTGTTTGGAGCCAAACACTTCAGAGACATGTTCTGTATACATCTGAGACCTATAATATATTGATGAAAAACAGTATAAAAGGGGACTTTTAACAAGAATTATCCTGCTAAGCAAAACTTGGAAGTATGATCAATGTTTTTCTTCCCATGCTAACTTTCCGGCCCTCAAAAAGATGTCATCACTGCACCCCTCAATTGCATCAGTGATAAGGAATATGATCTACAAAATCATCAAAATGATATTGTGTCTGACAGGCTTTTTGCAATCTGCTACCATTTTTATAAATGCACCTAATCCCTTTCTGTTGCAGGTGCTGATCCCCATTTCTCTGTACGTGTCCATTGAGGTTGTGAAACTGGGCCAGATCTACTTCATCCACAATGACCTAGCCCTGTACAACCAGCAGCTGGACTCTAGGACCCAGTGCCGGGCCCTGAACATCACAGAGGACCTGGGTCAGATCCAGTACCTGTTCTCTGATAAGACAGGAACTCTGACGGAGAACAAGATGGTGTTCCGCCGCTGTAGTATCTACGGGGTGGAATATCCTCATGAGGAAAACGGTAAGAACCCATAATATACACTGCTAGAAAGCTTTGTCTTTTTGCCCCCTTTGTTGCAGACAGAGGAATGGCCTAATTAGAGTTCCAGCAGGAACAATGAGATATTCTTAGTACAATAAACTGACAGGCAATATGGGGAATGGGTTAGGGCGCCAAGAAAGCAGGTGTCCAATAGGCTCTGATCATTACAATGTGTGCTAGACTTGTAATCATAGTCATAGTGTTGAAAGGGGGAGACAGAGGATGACATATTGAAATGACAAATCAATCAATCGTTGATTATTATTGGTAATTCTATGTGTGAATGACAGGACAAAATTAACTCTGTAATTCCACTGCAAAATCAAACAAGTGAAAGTGAAATGTCTTCCATATTCAAACTGTAAACATGTTCTCAACCAGCACCATGAGTATTTGGAAACAATACACTTGTAAAATACAGGATGTGTCCTTTCAGGAGACTTCAGCTGTTTTTCAGTGTGTCAGATAGCCTTCAAGTTTAATCGGAAATGATGTAAATACAGTATCAAATAAGACAAGGACATTCCCATTGCTGGTTTGAACTGCTTTCAGTGTAAAAAGACAAAAAAGGCATGAGAAAAGATATATATGTTATCAAAAATGGACACAGAGAGAAGAAAAGTAGCTGCATTGAAACGTAAATATTGATCAAATTAAAATGACAAAATCAGCAGCTGTGCACCAAGCATAAACGATAACTCTAAAACTGACAGACTTATACAATATCCAGTGTGTGATGATCAGGTAATTATGGGATATTTAAGCGGTGCAATTCTTTTTCTTTGCAGCCGCCAGATTAGCTAACAAAATCTGACTTTGTTTTGTTAAGATACCTAGTACTGACAAAATATTTAAAAAGACAGATATTGCGATGCATCGAGCATATATCTTCAATTACATGAGAGGCAGGTGATAGAAGAGATGGTGACATCACAACAAATCATTCAGACAAATTAAACTCATCAATCACACCTCGTGTGTGTGTGTGTGTGTGTGTGTGTGTGTGTGTGTGTGTGTGTGTGTGTGTGTGTGTGTGTGTGTGTGTGTGTGTGTGTGTGTGTGTGTGTGTGGTGTGTGTGTGTGTGTGTGTGTGTGTGTGTGTGTGTGTGTGTGTGTGTGTGTGTGTGTTAGCTCGGAGGCTGGAGGTGTATGAGGCTGAGAGGAGTGAGGAGGGGTCCGGTCGCTCGGTGACCCTGCAGTCGGGCCGCAGCAGATCTCTGAGCTGCAGACACAGCTCCGTGTCTCTGCACACACTCACTGCTGAGGAGGAGGAAGAGGAGCTGATCAATCACAGCCAGCCCAGAGCCTTCTGCAGCCGCGTGGTCAGTCTGTCACACACACAGTGATGCATGCACACACACACACACAGTGATGCATACACACACACACACACACACACACACAGTGATGCATACACACACACACACACACACACACACACACACACACACACACACGCACGCGCGTACGTACCTCTAACCCACTTCATATGTCTACAAGCAAACATGATGCTAAAAGACATCTCATTCACATGTGATCAATGTGTTCACATTGTATCGAGTGGTGCAGGAATGAGTCCTAAACCTGAACATTTGTCAGCATTTGAGCACTTCTTGTTTAGAAATCAATGTTTTTTTTAATGAGTTTTTGGTTAGTGTCCTGAAATAAGGTTTGTGGGTAATACAAACTCATGATATTTTTACATAAATTACATCAGTAAATACAACACTTTTCAATGTCTGAAGCTTTTAGATGTCACAAGGAGGGCGGTTCCTCACAAGTGGCTAAATGAGACTACTAGACGCCAAATACGATACCGCCTTTAGCTTAGCAATGGGATTTGAAGGCACACAACCGTCATGTAGTCCGTATTGTATATAGCCAAACATTAGCTATTGACTTCTGTCGAAAAATCTCATTGCTTTTTGTCGAGGAAACCCTTGTGATAACTAACTTCTGGGTCAGGTGACAATAATACAACATCCCTGCAGCACTCTATTGTAACCTGTCAAGAAACATGCTCTAGCTACAGTATGATGCATGATCCCATGCTGCCCCCATGTGTGTGTTCAGGCGAAGGAGGTGCTGCCGGACCCTGAGCTGGTGAGGAAGCTCAACTGGTTCCTCTCCCCTGCACTGGCTCTGAGTGACGGCTCCTCTGGGGCCCCCTCCAGCCTGGAGCTCACCTACATCACTGACTTCTTTCTGGCTCTGGCCATCTGTAACAGCGTGGTGGTGTCCTCTGCCAGCCAGCCGCGACACGTGGTGGGTACATGTTAACTTCACAGCTAGGATCAAGATTCAATGTGTACTCCTTGTACTAGGCTTTCACTTGTTTATATGGCTTGGTTCACTTTAGCCTGTAGTACTGTCTGAAAATGCTCTGATTAGCTGCTGAGTGCAATAAAGAAAATGTGAAAAAACCTTCTTTAGAGGAAATGCAGATGTAATTGATTTCTTAGAGTAGTACATAACACACACATACTGTACACTTGTTGTCTAGCAGTAACGCTCTTTGTAGACCAGTCCTCCAGCAGTTACTGTCTTTTTAAGGACTTGTCCTTTAGTACTCTCTTGTCGACTTGTCTTCCACATTGACAATTTCTATTCATTGTTGTGCTCATCATTCAGTGAGCTATTTTTAGAAAGTGCACGCGAGACCTGGTAGCGTGCACGCATCCACAGAGCAGTGTGTCCTGCTCTTCCGTGGCGATGACAGCTTGCAGTTAAAAAAATAATAAACCAATTTGAAAGTGGGGGGACAGAAACTGTCCCCAGTGGAAATGACGCCCATGGGTGTTAATTCATCTGTTTTGGGGATTGGCTGTGGAAGAACGTGAGGGGAGGGGCCTGGAAATGTTTTAGATTTCTTTCATAAGTTGATCCCATTCTCTTTTTTGTCTTTTTCCTGCAGGTGCGTGAAGAACAGACCCCTCTCAAGTCCCTGGAGGAAATCAAGACGATGTTCCAGCGCCTGAGCTTCTCTCCATTCTCAGCCCTCTCCATCCCCTCCCCTCCCCAGATCAAAGTCAGCCCCCTCAGCCTCGCCCACCGGATGTTTGCCAGGGGGAAGACTGGCTCGCTGGACTTCCCCCCCTCCAGTAACCGCACCACGGACGAGTCAGAATCAAGCCTGGAGGGCACCCTGGAAACCTCCAGCCTGAGACCTAAACCGGACATATCTTCTAGAGTCATGGAAGGGGCTGGCAGGGAGGTAAAGGATGATGTCATAGATTCAAAGACGGACGGGGCCAGGCAGGATGCGGAGGACTTGACCCTAGAAGAGGATTGTAAGAGTGAGGCTGATGAAGAGCTGCTGTACGAGGCGGAGAGTCCGGACGAGGCGGCCCTGGTCCACGCGGCCCAGGCGTACTGCTGCACCCTGAGGGGCCGCTCGGCAGAGAGCCTGACGGTGGATCTGCCTGGGATCGGCTCCCTGTCCGTCCCCCTGCTCCACATCCTGCCCTTCGACTCAGACAGGAAGAAGATGTCCGTGGTGGTCCGCCACCCGCTCACAGGACAGGTGGTGGTCTACACCAAGGGAGCTGACTCCGCCATCATGGACCTGACGGAGGCACCAAAAGGTCGTTAACCGAGTGACTGGGAGCTGAAATACTCGGTCTTTGCCCGACAGGTGTAACAGCAACTTGTCCTTCTGGTGTGTTCAGGTGCAGATGAGGCTCAGGAGATCTACAGACACATCAGAGAACAAACCCAAAACCACTTAGACAGCTATGCCAGAGAAGGCCTCCGCACACTCTGCATCGCCAAAAAGGTAACGCTTCATTAAAAATGATCTTAAACATTTTCTCACACATTATTTACTGTAATGGAATCCTGTGGCTATAAACAGAAGTTAAGGGGTAGAGATTTAAACGTTTTATTGCCCACTGTATTACAGCATTTCTAAGCCTAAAGTACATTGACTAGGGTTAGAAATATTGATCATTTATTTTAATCTTGAACTCAACTGACATGTGTTGCCACTTGTGTGTGAATACATTTTAATGTAGCATGGTAAATTCATGTCACAAAAAACCGTGTGTGTGTAGGTTCTGGAAGAAGAGGAGTACCAGGTGTGGCTGAAGGGCCAGCTGCGGGCAGAGAGCAGCATAGAGAGCAGAGAGGAGCTGCTGATGGAGTCTGCTCTCAGACTGGAGACCAGCCTCACTCTGCTGGGTGAGAGACACGGACACAGCTTGAAAATAATTGATAGGAACACTCTATAAAAAGAATGACATCATCAGGTCCCGTCAACAGAATTGTGCATGATGCAAAAACATATTACGCACCTCTCTGCTGTAAATCCTACGACAAATAATTCCAGTCGGCTTTATATACTGTAAAAATATATCTATACCATCAGAGCAATGGCTTCCCATTGTTGATGTATCGTCTACTCAGCATATTTTTGATACACCTAAAAATGTGCTGACAGGAAATAATTTTCACTGGACAATAGGACCGGAATCATTTACATGTGTCGGACTACAGTGACTTACAGTTCTGTGTGTGTGTGTGTGTGTGTGTGTGTGTGTGTGTGTGTGTGTGTGTGTGTGTGTGTGTGTGTGTGTGTGTGTGTGTGTGTGTGTGTGTGTGTGTGTGTGTGTGTGTGTGTGTGGTGTGTGTGTGTGTGTGTGTGGGTGTGTGTGTGTGGTGTGTGTGTGTGTGTGTGTGTGTGTGTGTGTGGGTGTGTGTTGTGTGTGATGTGTGTGTGTGTGTGTGTGGTGTGTGTGTGTGTGTGGGTGTGTGTGTGTGGTGTGTGTGGTGTGTGTGTGTGTTGTGTGTGTGTGTGTGTGTGTGTGTGTGTGTGTGTGTGTGTGTGTGTGTGTGTGTGTCCAGGCAGCACAGGCATCGTGGACAGACTGCAGGAAGAAGTCCCGGAGACGATAGAAGCTCTTCAGAGAGCTGGGATCAAAGTGTGGATCCTCACTGGAGACAAAAGGGAAACAGCCGTCAACATCGCCTACGCCTGCAAACTGCTGGGTCCCAACGACCAGCTGCTGACAGCCAGCTGTGGGAGCAAGGTCAGCGGTGGGGGGGGGGTTTAAAAGCAAACATATAAAAAAACTAACTCAAAAGCAAACTTCCACGAGCTCTCCATTGATATCAGAACAGCAGAAAGTCTACATTTCTTCCGTCGCAGACTAAAAAAAATACCTGTTTCATTTGAAACCAATGCACCTGCTCTTACAATGGTTTGGCTTATGAAGCAAATACATCTGCACTTTTTCCTGAGTTTGTACCTTTATGGTTTATTGGCCTTATTTGAAGTTGCTTTGGATAAAAGCGTCAGAGAAATGAAATGTAATTGAATGTAATGTGAAGCTAGCGATCTTACCTCCTCTCTTCCCCCCCTAAAATAACACAAGTTTAGTTAAAAACTAAAATGATTACCCAAAATAATGATCCGATTACTAAATCTAAAACTGTGAGAAAATACATTTGATCAAGTAGTTCAAAATAATGATTGGCTCCGTCACTGGAGGGTTGCTAACAGGAGGCTAAAATAACGACTGTCAATCTGTTTGCTCACTACTGCTTTTAAATGTCTACTACTCTTAAAAAGAAAAAGTTTTGATCTTGCTTGTAGAGAAAAATATCAATGCATTTCATTCAAATAACATAAATAGGTAACACTTTTATCCTATTGGACTTTGTCAACCATTAAGTTACAAAATCTAAAAGTAAGGATGCTGCAAAGACATTACCATTCAATATTTAAGTTCTACGTACTGAAGGTGCACATTAGAATATGAAATGTTGTATGTGGAACATAATGGTGGCAAAGAACTTAAATTGTCATGCATCACATAATTGTTGAAATAAATGAAGTGAATATGTGTACTCTATGTGTATGCTACAGTACTGATGGATTTATGTCCCTCATCAGGATGCATGTGCAGCTTTACTCCTGGAGCTCCAGCTGGAAGTGGATCGCAGTGGGGTACCTGCAGCAGGGAATCCTGGAAAGTCTCGGTCAGGCGCAGGGGCGGGCTTCATCCTGGTGATAGACGGCCGGACCCTGGACTGGGCCCTGCAGGAGGACCTGAAGGAGGACTTCCTGCTGCTGAGCTGCAGCTGCAAGGCGCTGCTCTGCTGCAGGTCCACCCCGCTGCAGAAGAGCCAGGTGGTGCGGCTGGTCCGGGACCAGCTGGCCGTCATGACCCTGGCCGTGGGTAAGAACAGGTGGAAGAAGAATTCAGATGCTCTACCTGAGTAAAAGTACCACTACATTATTGTCAAAGTACTTCATTACAAGTGAAAGTCCTGCATTTAAAATCTTACTTAAGTAAAAATACAAAAGTATTATCAGCAAAATGTACTTAAAGTATAAAAAGTAAAAGTAATCATTGGCATATCATATTATATATTTATATATGTGACATTTCTAGATAATGTTGTTGCAACAAGTAGCATTTTACTCTTGTAGACAAAGTTCTGATTGACTTTTTGTAAAATATTTAAATAATCTGACTCTTTGTGATTTAAAGAGTTAGTCCACTAGTTTATGCATTGCGTTCAGAGTATCTAAAGCTGTAAAACAAATGTAGTGGAGTACAATTATAATTGTTTCCTTTTAAATTAAGTGGAGTAGAAGTATAAAGTAGCATTAAATGGAAATACTCAAGTAAGTACAAGTACCTCAAAATTGTATTTAAGTACAGTACTTGAGTAAATCTACTTGGTTACTTCCCACCTCTGAATACCACTGGGAAGATTAACCTAGTTCTTTGTAAATGAAAGATTCCCTTAAAGGAGAGGTGTCACGCTTTTCCGGTTATTACCCGTCCCCTTGTGTGTTATGAAGGTTTTTATGCATGTAAACGGTGTGCAGAGTCAAAACCCTCAAAGTACACCCTGTAGCGAGTACAACTCTAACACAGAAAATACCTCCCCAAAACGCCTCGTTGGAGATACGTCATTGTCCATTTGATTCTTCCGGGTACGGCATGATGTCATGCCGTACCCGGAACGTGTGTGAATACACGTAGTTTACAGAGATGCTGTATGAGAAACCAATGTGAGTTTTGAAAAATGCACAATATAAATCTATTTTAGTAGACCTCAACAATGGAATTATGATCAGTGGAAATGGCCATGACACCTCTCCTTTAAAGTCTATTTTATCCTTTATTTTAAACTATCCCTCAGCTATAAGCACGAGTCAGGTCAGATATTATCAGGCCGTCAATACCAGAACATAAGATTTCAATTAGATAGTGACTGGAGGAGGGGCCAACTGGATAAAATCTTAAATGATGTGATATTCTTTGTGCGTACCTAAATGTGATGAGTGTTTTTGGTTCAACAAGGTGATGGAGCCAATGATGTGAGCATGATCCAGGTGGCTGATGTGGGCATCGGGATCTCTGGACAGGAGGGGATGCAGGTGAGAACTTCACTTTACGTCTTTATGACAGACTTGGGGGGGCTTCTTTCTGCCAGTAATCTACTGCTTCTTACTATTTAATAAAACATCTAAAAAAAAGTTTCTAACTAGCTTTGGTGTTTTTTGTGCTGATCTGAAAATGGGGGGTTTAGCCCACTGCAGTCAACATGGAGAAATGTCCTTGGGCAAGATACTAACCTCACTTGTGTGAAGTGTATGTAGGTTATTCTATTTTGTATAGGCTTCGCCCTCTAAGGCTATCGCTATTGGGTAATCCCCTGCGCACCCGCGCAGCACTGAAAACACTTGTAGTCCACGCCCACCCGTGAGGGGGGCCCCACCTTCGGACTCACTTCCGGTATAAATAGGAAGGAGGCCCGACAATCTGCTCCCTCTTTGCTTCAGCACCCCGGTACTGAAGCACTGTAGAGACACTAAAGAGTAAAGGCTCTTTTAAGAGCCACCTCGAAAAAGATCCTTAAACATGAGTACACAGGGTTGTGTTAGAGTTTGCTCCTCATGCCAGACAGGGTTCATAATTAGTTATGACCCGCACTCACAATGCGAATCCTGCCTGGGGTCGGAGCACGCGCACGGGTGTCATGTGCTCATTGTCATTGTGCCCGTCTCATTCTGGCCGACAGACAGCGAAGAGCGGACGCTCTCGCTACTGCGGCCGAGGAGGATGATTGGCCAGTCCAGAGTCCTACTCCGTGGACCAGCCTTGAGTTCTTGGATCCGAGTGCTGGGCAGGAGTCGGAAGGCTCCTACCCCGCCTCCATCCATGGATCACCGTGTGGTGTCCCCATCCCGTTTCTCCCCCGGACGGAGGAGACGGAGATGGAGCCCGGTGCTGGCCTGGCCCGGCTGCGGGACCCGCGGTCCCTCTTTCCGCCATCACGGCTCTGCCGTCGATAGGCGGGATCCTGCAGGAACTGCCGGAGATCATCGAAAAGGCAGCCGCCTGGAGAGGTCTCCTCATTCCCCCGGCTCAGGAGAGCTCTCTTGCCGGTGGCAGGAGTGTTTCTCCCGGGTACAGACCGTCAGGAGTGACCCAGTCTGGCCGCGCTTCCCTGCCATCTGCTGACCTGTCGGTTAGTAGCCAGCAGGGCTCGCTGCAGAAGCCTGCTGTTTTGAACCTATCTGTTAATAAACTGCAGAGCTCGCGGCATTCCTCTGTCCCAGATATACCTCCTACACACGGTCATAATAAGCCCACGAGTGCCGTTATAACGCCTCGTGTGGACAGCACTGCACACACCACTACTCATCCCCTGAGCGTGTACGCGCCGTGTTGCATTCGTGTTGAGAATGTTCCATTCAAAAATGTTATTATTAAAAAGGCATTTACACCATAAAAGTTTTTTAATTAAATTATTGGTTAAGAATAAACATCTTAAAGTAAATAACAATAAACAATAGCCCTTAACCCTGTAAGGCCCCCGGTTGTAATTTTACAACATTACTTTAAGCTATCCAAAAAAGTCAGTAAATGTTTTAGTTTTTTTAAAAGACTACATTTACATAGTCAAAAGGTCCTTTTGTTCAGCCTATTATGGCGCATTTCCACCACACGGTCGGCCTCGGCCTCGCTCGGTACTGCTAGGCCGCGTTGGGCCTTGTTAGTGCCGGCTCACTTCATGCTGCGCTTCCATTACAGTTTAGGAACTGGGGTAGTTACTATAGTAACGCAGTGTAGGCGGAGCCGTGACGTCATCTTCAATGAGAACCCCAGAAAAACAACACAGCCGTTAGCTGTTAGCACTCAGAGCTCACAGCTCCTCATATCTGTTCAGAAACTAGACAAAAGTTAAACAAGTACAAACCACAGACTGCCTGTGTCATGGTGAATACAGTCGCTGCTTTATTTATGTCTGTATAGGCCGTTGTTGTGAGTGTGGACGGTCGGAGCATATACTGCGTTAGCTTAGCCAATCTCCATTTAGAAAACACGCATTTTAAAAGGTTTTTCGCCTGCCGTCTGTCTGCAGACTTGTCAAAGCATTAATTCATGGTTTTTACTAACCGGTATCAGTATGTTGTTACTTCGGCATCATTTTGAAACGTGTATTACAATTAAATCACGGTCAAATATGTTCATCTTGTTGTAGTTGTAGCCCCCTTGCCAGCGATTCTCTCTCTAGTTTAGCAAACTCAGCCTGACTCGGCCCTGTTTGTTGGCCACGATAGATACACGATTTTGTCGGGCCAGAAAAGAGGTGAAAAAGTACCCCCGGGCCGGAACTAGGCCTAGTGGAAGCGCAACCAAAAACGGGCCCGGCACGACACGGCACGCTTAAACCGCACTCCGCGCCATGGTGGAAATGCCCACCATGTTTATGTAGTAAATGTGTTTATAGGTCCTGCCCTCTGGCCATACATATAAGACTAACATTCCTGACAATATATCTCAATAGTCATCTTTTATGGTGTAAATGCCTTTTTAATAATAACATTTTTGAATGGAACATTCTCAACATGAATGCATCAATCCAAATAAATATAACTTCAATATGTGGGAAAATACTGTGTCTGAAATGTATAATTGAAATGAGATGTTAGCTTTTTGTTTTGATATATATATATATATATATATATATATATATTGTATTCCAGTCTCCCTTCAGATATGTTAAGTGTCATTCAACACAATGCTGCTCACCTCCTTCAGTTGGGAGAAAAGCTGGTTCAGGTTCAGCATTATGGGGGGACAGGGCTGCTGAGCCTAGAGATGGATCTGTTGGTCCTGGCACCAGGGGAGGGACAACTGGTTTAGTATGAATAGCTGCTGAAGATGTACCTGCATTTGTTAAATGTCAGGTACGCTTGTAAAAGCGCAGTGAAATTAAAAACCTCTGCATTTTCTTTATAGATATTAACAGTACTTAATGTCAGCTTAGTAAAAAAAACAACATAAAAATTATTATTTACAATGGACTACGCTTAGCTAACAGACACATTTCCACCACTCATGGACCACACCCACCTTTTCTCTTGAAAAACTGGGTGACATACTGTCGCCCTTTAGTCCCTCTCTCTGTCTTTCTCTCCTTTCTTTTCTTTTTGAAAGCCTGACTTTGTGAGTCGTTGAGACATGGCACACACGTAAGTACTAGCATCCCTACTCACATGTTCTTACTCTCTGCTAGAAAGTGCCGTTTGGAGGCAGAGGCGGGACCAAACCATTACATGTAAATAGAAGGGGGTGTACAGAGGCTTTGGATAATTAACTTTTGGAAGAAAATAAGTTAAATGAATTGTAAGTTTAGTGAGTACATTATCAATATAACGTTATATTAATGTTAATTATTGATTAATGATGAAAGGTTACTTAACATTTTTTTTCTTAATGTTCTAAAATTCTTTGGGCCCCCGTGGTGAGGGTGTTTGGGGTGGCCAATAGGGTGGCCAGGATTCAGCCACCCCCCAGCTCCGCCACTGTAAGACATTTGCATTGCTGCATCTTGGTCTTCCCCCTGTTCGTTTATTCAATTTTATTTGAGGGATGTCTCCCATTCCTCTCTGACACACCCTGTGCTGAGTGTCCTGTCAGAGTGAGTGATGTTAGGGATCCAGCTGTGCGCTCTCCTGCCTGTCTGCACGCAGAGAGCTGCCCTTGTTCCCCCTCTTTTATCGCTGGGCAAAGTGTGACCTTCGTCTCTACTTTTTCACAGCGGCAGGGTTGTATTGTTCCCAGCCTTCGTCCCCTCATGGAAAATATTCATGTTATGCTATATTCCAGGGACTGTGATGCGCCATTCACATGGCGCAATAGGCATGGGTTATTATCTGAGCAGGTGTGTCTGTGCTTCTAGTACCGGGCGGACCCAGTGGGGCGCAGACTACATCCTGCTTCGCCCTTAACCCAATAGCGATAGCCTTAGAGGGCAAAGCCATATATACGAAATAGAACTGAAGTTACCTACTGTAACTCCAGCTTCTATGAGTATTGGCGTAGCCCTCTAAGTTCTGGGCCCCACTGGCTCCACGAATAGCTGAAGAAAAGCTGTTTGTGTGGGAACAGATTGTCGGGCCTCCTTCCTATTTATACCGGAAGGGAGCCCGAGGGTGGGGCCCACCTCACAGGTGGGCGTGGACTACAAGTGTTTTCAGTGCTGCGCGGGTGCGCAGGGGGATTACCCAATAGCGATAGCCTTAGAGGGCTACGCCTATACTCATAGAAACTGGAGTTACAGTAGGTAACTTCAGATTTAGGTAGTCCCTTTTTCCCGGTTATCAACCCTACACTCTAACCCTAACCCAATGACTGATATATCAAATGAAAAAGATAACAACTTAAAACTTGCTTCACATAAGCAGAGGGAAAAGACAATTATAGACATCAACTTTCATGTCAGCACCACTTCACATTCCTGAGTTATGTGAGGATCATCCCTTTTTTTTTAACAATAACTTTGTTTATTTAGCACCTTCCATGCATGATGCATCCTATAGTGCTTTACAGAGCAAGATAAGGTACAGTTAAACAATAACAATGAGTAAAAATCAATAAGAGTAACACATATTACAAAACGGAATAAGATAAAGATCGCAAAACAATAAAACCGTCCAATTCCAAGGGAGTTAGCTGATCTAAGATCTAAGGGAATTATTATGGCTATCCATGACAGCTATATCAAAGATAGAAGCTAGAGCCCCCCAAACTCAGTACACATAAATGCAGGAAGGAGACAATAACACACACCAAATGTCATGATGCCCCCCCTTACTGTCATCCCTGTTTCCCTACCCTAAAACAACCATAATCATTTTTGAATTGGAGTCACCGACAGCTGTATGAAAAGAAGCAGCTAGAGCATGTTTGTTTGGGTAATATTTTGTCTCTGTGTGTCGTTCCCCAGGCGGTGATGTCCAGTGACTTCGCGATCTCCAGGTTCAAACACCTGAGGAAGCTGCTGCTGGTCCACGGTCACTGGTGCTACGCTCGACTCGCAAACATGATCCTCTACTTCATCTACAAGAATGTGGTACGAGTTATTTTCAGAAGTCATGTTTTTTAAGACTGGTTAAGAGACTAACAGTGGGGAAGTTGCACAATAACTCTATTCTCAGAAATACTGGATATGAACAATCCAAATATTTTACTCGCATGATTTAAAGGTCACCTATTATACTCTTTTTCAACACTATATTATATGTCTCATATATATACAAAACATGTCTCTGAAGTGATTGGCTGAAACACCAAACAGATCATTGCAGCGTCCCATAATCCCCTCTGTTTCAGCGCTGTTCCAAAAGTGCTGATTCTGTGTCTGTAGCTTTAAATGCTAATGAGCTGCTGCTGGCCACGCCCCTCTGAGAGATGATTGGTTTAAAAAGAACACAATGGTGCTCTAGGAGGAGATTCAGGTGATAAGATGGGCGGGGGTTACCTTGGTTGGTTATTGGCTAATGGTTACACAAGACAAAAAACATTGTGACATCACAAAGTGACCGAAATCTGATCAGCTCATTTTCAAACAGGTTTTTATATAGATGGATCAGGAAAAAAAGAGAGAGAATCTTTTTTCCTGAAACGTGCACAATCTATTAACACAGAGGGGACACATATTTATGTATAAAAGAAATGAAAAAGTGGATTTTGCATAATAGGTGACCTTTAAACTACCTTCTCGTGATCTATTTCTCAGTATTTTACCTGTTTGACTGGCTATTTGTTATGTGACAGCTCTCTTGACTAAACGCTGGTGGATTTTTTTGTTATTTTTTCCTTTACATGCTTGAATCTCAAATTGTGTAGTTTGACACATTTCTACCAATATGAGACCCAACTCATACAGTGTGATATGTGTTCTGCTCAGGGTTGGGTTGTAACGGAATACATGTAACGGTGTTACGTAATCAGAATACAAAAATCAAGAGAGAGAGAGAGAGAGAGAGAGAGATGCAGCGTGTCTGTGAGGCCCCGCCCCCGCACGCAGATGAGAGAGAGAGAGAGATCTCTTTTAAAATATATTGAAAGTTAGAAACGGAGATGGTTCGATAAAACGTGCAAGATAACGTTTATGTAGCATTTATTGTTGAAATGATGACATTTCATAACTGGATCAAATCAAAGTGAATGGCCTGTTGCTGCTGAATGCATGGGGCAAGTGACTGGAAAAAGTTATTACATCGTTTCAGATAATAATAATAATAATAATAATAATAATTAATAATAATAATAACTCATTCTATTTAGAGGCGCCTTTCAAAGCACCCAAGGACACCTTACAATTAATCAAATATTCTGAGGAAAGGTTTAAGACGGTACAAAAGGACTATAACAGGGAACATGTTGGGAAACAGGAGACATGTAGCACTACAGTGAGTAGGCTGATCTGAACAGGTGGGTTTTGAGGCGTGGGGTGGGGACAGTTAGCAGGCCAGCAGAGGAGGAGCGGAGGGAGCGAGAGGGGGTGTAGGAGGTCAGCTAGATAGGTGGGGGCCAGGTTGTGGAGGGCTTTGAATGTGAGCAGGAGGGTTTGGAAGTCTTTTGGGGGTGATGTGGTCAGAGGATTTGGTGTGGGTGACGATCCGGGCAGCAGAGTTCTGAATGGTTTGAAGTTTGAAGGCCTGAGAGCATGGTATTACAATAGTCAATACGGGATGTGACGAATGCATGAACCAGGACTTCAGTGCTGAGACAGGGCGGAGTCTGGAGAAGAATGCAGTCCGGGTGATGTTTTTTGGGTGCAAATGAGAGGGAGCTGTCCAGAATGACACCAAGATGTCGTGTTTCAGTTGTGCTCTTGATAAGCCATTAAAACAGTAAACAAGTGTCTCCTGTTCACCAAAACATACCCACCATCTGTTAGGGAAAAAGAAAGTATTCCAAAAGAATTCTAAAAGTAATCTGAATATGTTACTTTTTTAAGACAGGTAACTGTATTTGGAATCTGATTACTTTCAGAGCCATGTATTCAGTATTCAGGCACTCATTACATTTACAAAGTAACCCTCCCAACCCTGGTTCTGCTTGTAAACCATGTTAACTCTAATCAACTCCTCATTCATATCATTTACATGTGCGTTGCAGATGTTTGTGAATCTGCTGTTCTGGTATCAGTTCTTCTGTGGTTTCTCTGGGAGCGTGATGACCAACGCCTGGGTGCTCATCCTCTTCAACCTGCTCTTCACCTCCGTGCCTCCTCTCCTCTGCGGCGTGCTGGACCGACACACTGCCGCACACACACTGATGCAGCTGCCCCAGCTCTACCACGCCTCCAAGGTGACTGAACACACAAACAACAACTGTTTAATAAAATGTTTTCCTACAATAACTCAGTTGTCCTTAGAACTGAAAGAGAGCAGAGTGATCTCCACATTAATGACCTGTTATGGGCGCACCCGGTTAACCTTATATTGATGGCTTCTCAGAAATCTAGTACATTGGTGCTGTGTTGATGTATTTTTGTAGGTCAGACCAGAAGTTCCCTCAACAAAAAGCAATGGGATTTTTCCTTTAGATTTTGGAACATTGCAGAAAATATGCTCTGTTTCAAACCCATGTTGTGTTTCTCTGCAGGTCTCTGTTCCCCACATGTTCTGGATCACAGTCCTGGATGCCTTTTACCAAAGCCTCGTCTGCTTCTTTGTGTCTTACTGTGTAAGTACAATGTCAACCCTCCTGACATGTCAAATATTTACTTCCTTTGCCGCTCTTTACATGGTCGGCAGGGGTCTCCTACGCAGAGGTTATAACCCCTGCGTAGGAACAGTACGCAACTTCCGACTCAAACGTTGTCATTAATAAAAACAAACTTGACAGGAAAATGTGCGCTCCTACAGTGTAAAAGAAATAATAACCCATTTGTACACTTGTTTTTAAAGCAGAGAGTGAGGTGGTGGGGTGAATAATGACAAATCACACAATTAATTTTGCTTCACATCACACCTATACCTCATAGATATTTAAACCTGCAGTGTTGATTGTGCTTATAAGCCATGACTGTAAGCATAGTTTAATTGTAAAAGATATTTTTTAATGAGACCCCTGGTCATTTAGCTGCCTGTCAAAGTCTCTAGCTGTGTCTCTATTCGGGTATTAATGTACTTACATGTGCTGATTTGAGTGCATAGGTTCATACCATTGCAAAGTGAACTATGAGTACCCGAAATGTGCACTCATAACAGTCAAAAAGTTTAGTTGACACTTCCAATGAGGGCACAGCATCCGTGTGTATTTTAAGACAAGGCTACACGGTCTAGATTCACACACTGCACAAGTGTTCACATTGCAGTGTACTAAGGGAATTACCCCGTATGAGACATGCTCTTCTTCTGTGTACTGGTCCTCCACACTGCTAATAGGAAGGCTTGTTATTACTATCAAAAAAAGAATATGATGGCATCAAATTTGATATCTCGTAGTAATAACCCAAGTGTTGTGATTTTCAGGCCTTTGCAGGGTCAAGCATCAGTGTGCTCTCCTTCGGCTCTCCCATCAACGCCTCCGCCCTCCTCATCATCCTGCTGCACCAAGTCATCGAGAGCCCCACCCTGGTCAGACACTCTACAGCTGTCAGCCACTCCAGTCATTCATTGTTTGGTTGTTCTGTAAGGAAAGCAAAGAATGGAAGTGTGTGACATTAGGTGTGTGTGTTGCAGACGTGGATCCATGCGCTGGTGTTGCTGCTCAGCGCTGCCTCCTACTTCGGCTTCGTGGTGCTCTTCGGTTTGTTCTGTGTGACCTGCAGCCCCCCCACAAACCCTCTGGGGGTGGAAACACTCCAAATGTCTGACCCACTTTTCTACATCATATGTGCCCTTACCACTGTGACAGCGCTGATACCCAGGTACACACACTGCACATAAACACACCATCAAACACTACACACTGAAGACTGAATACGTCTCGACAGGTCAAGACTCCACATATTAACGTCACTTCACTTCAGCATCGCTAAGTTAAAGACAGCTAAAGTGCAGTCATTTAGTCACTTGTTGACCACCATTTTTTTAATTCTCTGGTGGGGTATTAACTTATCTATTTTATGTCGGACATTTTTTTTGAAACTCTCTTAACCTTATGTGAACCACAGCCTTTATTTCAGGCAGGTAACCAAACACGCAACAAATCTTTTAGGACTCATTCCTGCACCACTCTATATGAAATGCAATGTACTGTATATTATGTATACCATAATAGCATTCTTTTAGTTTTTGTGCTGTTTGACCTTACTTTGTCTCCCCTCCTCTGACACTACTGCAAAGCCATAAAATGAATCCAACATATATTCAATCTTTCTTCATATCGTAATATACCTGTGATGAGCTCAAATGAGCCGATCACTGACCCTGTCGGTCCACTTCTCCTCTGCAGGCTGCTGTTCCGAGCTCTGTTCAACACTTTACACCCCTCCGCTGTTCTGAAATCAGCTCAGACGGACAGAGAGGATTCTGAGAATTACCGGAGGAAAATGCAGCGCTGGAATCAGAGCCGGCCCAAAAACAGGCTGCCAGTGTGTGCAGACAACCCGGGCCTGGAGCCCTGCTCAGACACAGTGTCCTGACACACACACACACACACACACACACACACACACACACACACACACACACACACACACACACACACACACACACACACACACACACACACACACACACACACACACACACACACACACACACACACACACACAGGTAGACAGAGCTGACAGTTCAGAAGACATGCTGGATGTAATGATAATCATGTGACCTCCACTAATATCTCACCAAGCTTTATTGAAGACAATCTGTGAACCATGACATCATGTCAAATCATGAATCTTCCGACATTTTTCATAAATGAGTTTGACCAAACTTCACACTTTGTCATATATAATAAATATGACACAGTGTTTCTTTCGTTTCTTATTCAGATGTGGTATGCAGAGTTCACTAAATGCATGCGCAGTAATCAGAATCAGAATCAGAATGTATGATATGAGTCAAATCACTGTTTAGCTGTATATGTTTCAGATAACTGAGTTATAGAATGAGAAATGAACAACTGTGAACAAATTTGATCTGGCCTATGAATCAGAATTTAGCTGTAATGAGATTTAATTTATTTTTTAACAGATGGCACTGATAATGCTATCATACTGGTTGACATTTTAACACACAGCACTAGCATCCCAGTGGAGTGCTATGTGTGTCCCCCTATGAATCTAAGTTGAATATTTATTGGAGCTCTGTTCAATCAACTGCTGAGAGGAAAATCTGGCACTTAAGCCGCTGCTATAGATAACCGACTTTGTGTTTAGTTTCTCATTGCATTTTGGTGGTGCGCAGGTAGCATGTGGCTAAAGTTAGCTGTGTGTCTACGTTCTTAAACTATACAAATTTGATAAAATCGAAAATCCAACTAACTGCTGTCAACCAAAACACGTGTTCTTCCTCTTTAAGGCTGCATTCGTAAATACTCCAAGGGCCCATGTACACTCTGGTTCAAAGTAAAACATTGGACAGCGCTGTTGGAATGTACTTTGGGATATTCATAGCGGCTCACTCTTTGAGCAACAGAGTACCAAGCGCAGTGAATGTGTGAAAGATACCTTTTTTGCCATACTGTTTAACCAACAGTAAGCTAGTTAGCTCTCTAGCTGGCATACATTTTCTCAAAATTAGCTAAAGTTCGCAGTAGCCTACATTTTCTTATTTCTAGTAATAGCTTGCTAGCTTACATTTTCTCAACTTTTGATAACGTTAGCAATCGTCTACATTTTCTAATTTATTTCAATAGCTTGCTACCTAGCTTACGTTTTCTCAACTTTAGCTAACTTTAGCAATAGCCTACATTTTATTTAATTTAGTTTCATAGCCATATTGTCTACAGGCTATATCATGTCACATCATAATTGTCTGTTATGTTGTCATCCTCGGGCACTCACTATATTTTTCAAATTTTTCTTTAAAACATTCAAACTTACCTGTTGGTAAATTCATATAGTAAGGGCCGCCCCTCCCTACAGGCAGATCACGCAGACTGTGTGGGGCCTCACCTCGCGGAGGGGGCTCGCGTCGATGCTCGCGACACAGAGGGCCTCATCATATAACTTTGCGTGGGGACACAAGTTGGCCAGGGGCGGCCCTGCATATAGAAATAGAACACTGTGTTTCTTCAAACAACAGCTCCCTTACTTTAGTTTTATATTTGTAATATTTCAACCTGTATTGAAATAGTGTGGTTTATTTACACCCTAACTGCAGTTAAACATGCTAACAAGGTTGCAAGAAATACAGTGATTCATTTTTAAAGGGCAGGGTAAGTTATGTTGTGTTTAACCTCTAGAGACGAACAAATCATGTTTACTTTTTTCATACTGTTTTCAAATGCAGTTTTACATTGTTGGAGATATTGTTGCATTTCTTCATTGTTTTTGTTTTTTTGCAGTTCATTTGAATTCATTTGAAATAAATTCAGTCTGGATGTACAGTGTGATGGATTGCACCACAGATTTGTTGTCAGATATTGTGTTAGAATTAGTAATGGTGGAAACTGGTTGATTCCTGGAATTATACATCAACATCTGTATAATGTCAAAAGGTTATTACTGATGTAAGGTGCAAGACATTAGACAGTCATGTGAGATTTGACAGGGCTATTGTACATTTTATATGAAATGCTATAATTTCTCAATTCGAACAAAGACCATTTTAGATTAAATAACTTTCAACCAAATGAAGAAAATCAACCTGACACTCCTGGTAAGCCTCATGAGTTTTATGTAGTCGTGTTGCTGCAGCCTGACTTTATGCACATCTTTGTAAAAGTAACCCAAGGTGAAACCATGAAGCCTTAAAGTTGATGCAATACTTTCACATGGGAATGTTTTTACTAAAGTGCATTGATTTTTATATTTTGTAAATTGTTCTATTGGATGTATGATATACATTTGCAGTGACTGTAAATGCTGTTTCAGACAATGCGATAAAAGTTATTCAGATTCTAGTACCCTTGTCAACCCTTTTTGTTTGTAATTTACGTGTAGACTTATTTTTATACATTCACATGATAGAGGCACATGTGGAGTCCAATTCACCACATGTAAAATGTAATATTCACATTTGATTGCGTTTTTATGTTTAACATTTAATATCAGCAAGTGATCAATGATATAAAAGCACTTTTGGATGAATTCACACATCAACATGACATCTTTTTGTTGTAACCAGAGAATCGAGGACCCATATGCAGTCACAGAGGATTGAAGTTAAAGAAGGAAATGTGTTTTATTGTAATCTTTGTAGAGAGTGGAGACGTGACATTGTGTTCAGGAGGGAGGGAATGATGATGATGGAGGACCTGCAGAGGGTGGCAGGTGATGATCTGAGCAGGAGAATAAGACAAGTCACGCACACAAAAAGCAACAATAACTATCACTAAGTTAGTGTGTGGGTGTGCAGCGTACACAGTGTGCATGTCTCACCCACAGGTGTGGATGGTATGCTAATTACCTAAAACCTGAGAGTGATAGGCACTTGGTTACTTGGTTAGAGGCATCGGTGAGGGGGCCAACAGGGGCCAGTGCCCCTGTAAAAGCTGTGACCCCCCTGTGGCCCCCCTCCAAAATAATCTTTGGTAATACCATCTTTGATAGCATTGCGGCAAAGATAGTGCCAAAGATGTGGTAATGTGTTTAGTTTAGTTTTTATAATTGTAATTTATTAAAAAAGTTGACCTGAGTTATTTACACCAATTCTTTAACTGAACTAAACTAAAAATGTATATTTTTTCCAGCTCAAATGTGCCCCTCTAATAAAATAACTGGCCCCAGGATGGCCAATCAATCTATAAGTTAAATGTCCCATGTCATGCTTTTCCGGTTATTACCCGTCCCCTTGTGTGTTATGAAGGTTTTTATGCATGTAAACGGTGTGCAGAGTCAAAACCCTCAAAGTACACCCTGTAGCGAGTAAAACTCTAACACAGAAAATACCTCCCCAAAACGCCTCGTTGGAGATACGTCATTGTCCATTTTATTCTTCCGGGACGGGGTGACGTAACCCCGTACCCGGAACGAAATGGACCAATCCGTGGAGCCGTTACGTTACGTCCACGGAGCCGTTACGTTAAGCCCCCGCTGATTGGTCCAAATTGACCAATCCACGGACTTCCTCACACACACACACAGTGTGCAGGCAGCTCTGCTGATTTCTCCTCCCTGGCTGCAGGCTGATAACAGACCGTTGGGATCGCGGCAAAATTCTCTCTGCAGACCCATTCTCACAGCGTTTATCAACCTTTTTCTTACTCAATATCAAGCCACACTTATTGTTTTTACTTCGGCTGTGAGTTTGTGTGTGCTCAGGATGAGTTTGGCTGTGTTTGGCTGTGTATCGCTAACAAGGAAACAACACCTCCACGGAGCTCCCGACCAATCAGAGCACACTGTGCTCACAGGGAGGGTGGGGGCTGGAGCTATTGGAGCTACAACGAGCCGTTAAAGGCAGAGAGTGAAATTCAGTGAATACACATACTATACAGAGATGCTGTATGAGAAACCAATGTGAGTTTGGAAAATTGCACAATAGAGTGGCGAAGTCACGCCCATCTACTTCCGGTCCATGGGACCTTATTTCAGAAAAATTATGCATTGAAGTCAATGGGGAGAGAAAACGTATCTTTCGATCCCGTTTGAATTGTGCCATGAAGCACATTTGCTCCTGCTGATTTAATTCAATGCAATCCCTCCCCGTCGAGGTAAGCACTGTAATTCTCTCCGGTTAGTCCACCAGCAGATGACAAACACCCACCTCTCCGCCTCTTCCAAGGAACGAGGGGACCGTGCGGCAGAGTTTCAGTTTCAGTTTCTTTCGCTGGTCAAGATGTCCGTTAAAGTTTAAATCTTCCGGACAAAATTAGAAAAGTGCCGGTCAAAGGTCTTCTTTGTTATTTATTGAGCTTAACGTTTAATAATATATGATAGCGTATTAGTTGATACCAAAATTCTGCAAAGTAACTAAATAGGTTAAAAAAAATGTAATGGAGTAAAAAGTACAACTTAAAAAGTAGCATACAATAAAAAATACTCAAGTAAAGTACAAGTACTTAAGTAAAAGTACTTAGTTACATTCGACCACTGCCTCTAGGCGTGTTTGACTAAGTTGAACACGTTCACTCTGTGCACGTGTGTTATATACACACAGACACACACACACACACACACACACACACACACACTGACTGAGACCTCAGAGAGAGATGAGTTTCTACAGCGACGACTCCTCTCCCGACGAGTTAGAGACTTTAGGGTAAGCCTGCTTTTTGACTTTAATGTCATTCTCTGTAAAAGGTTACTTTACCGACGGTACATGAACGAGACGCTTCTAGAAGGAAACGGGTTTCGAGTGCCGATTGAAATACTGTACCAGGCTCCGTTCAAACTATTCTTAGTCCTTCACAAACAGAAAGAATGTTTCGATAATATGTTAACAATATTCAAAAACAGTAGCCTGTCTTAGTTAGTTGAATCGGCATTATATAATTGATTATTAGTCCTAGATTACCGCCACTACTCCATTGTTTTCAGCGCTCGCGACTACTTTACTGAGAAGGATTTGCATAGCTTCATAATTAGCCTCTTGAGATTGCTTACCGTTTGCTTTTTTATGGACTTCTAAGGTAGCCTAACCTACAAATATCATTTATAAGAGAAAACAATATCATATATTATGTAATAATAATATATTTTTGAGTTAAATGGTGTTCTGTCACATACTGTAACACAGGCAGCATTAAAGTCTATTGGTGGAATAATTACTCGGATGTTACACTTAAGTGGAATTAGCTCTGTATCAAGTACAAGTCAAGCATTCAACATTTTACTAAACGTTAGTAAAATCACCTGTTACTTGTTGGAATGGCCCATTTTGGAATTATAAATATAGATTTACTGGAATATGAGTATTGATGCATTAAAGTGCCTATTACAGTTTGTAAAGGTGGAGCTTATTTTAATTACTTGATATACTGCTGCTATAATGCTGCCTATAATAATGTCAATGTTTATTTATAAGTTGATTTATATTTTGTCTAAATCTGTAAGGTAACTACAGTAGTAAAGCTATCAGATAAATGTAGTGGAGTAAAAGTTGTTGGTATATTATAAATTATTAAGTTAGTAAAAGTACAAGTCAAATTTGTAATATTTGTTATACATATTATTATATTATACTGAGTAAATGTACTTTCCACCACTGTAAGGAAGCAACATGAAATGATGAGCTATTAAATAGATGAAACCAGAGATTTCTGGGGATGAGTGGACCGTTTAGTGATTTAGGATTGGTTTCCTGTTTTTTACACTCAGCAACTTTTAATGCAAATAATGAAGTTTCACTTCCCTTTATTTGTTTCCTTTGCATGCTTTCACACTCCTTCCTGCTAGTAAACCTTTTAGAAAGTTCATTAATGATTGGGCAACTTTCTCTCCTTCAATAAAACTGTATTGAATGAGATGATGCAACCTGTGATCCTGAGACCCAGGGGCAGATGTTACTGAGTATATTGTATTGCATTGTATTATATTGTATGTATAGTTGTTTGCCATGTTTCAGGGTGGCTAGTGGTTAGTTGGTCTCTCAGGAAAATAAGTCCATACTTTTTATTTAAACCACTCTTTAGTTCCATCACCCCATACAATCTGTCATATGGATTTGCTAATCTCATCGGAATAAATGTCCCTCGCATGAGCTAATCCCAATCCTACAGATCCAAAAGTATTCTAAATAAAAAATAAAGCTGTATTTGCTAATGGCTTTGTTCACATCTGATGTTGTGTACACATTGAAAAACGAGATCCAGAAGCCATTTAACAAGTTAAAATCATTCAAGGTGTTGATGCTGGGTGGTCAATTGGACATCATATTCTCTATGAAAAAGAATATTAAGAATATATTACAGGTAGGACTTTACCAAGGCCGATGTTAGCCCTATTCTCTCAATTGGTGCACCCTTATTACAGGTCTTTATAACCTCAATAAATTATAATTATAAATTAGGATGTGCATTTCGTTTACATTCTTGATGCAATATTACATTTCTGCTGTACAGTACTGTCTGTAAAGCCCCATGAGGCTAATTTTTTATTTGTGTAAATGGGCTTTATAATTAAAATTGTATTGATTGCGTTTGAGCCAAGAGGCCTGTACATACACTGTTTGGGTCACAAACAGCGCCATTGTGTTTTCTACTGCAAGACTGTGGCAACTTAAATGATTTTCAATAAATCCAAATTGTCTCACAATTAACCACAGTATTGAGTGCTAATTTATTTTTGCTTCATTGTGTTGAAGGTGGTACCACCATGACCTGTCCCGCCATGCAGCAGAGGCTCTGCTCCTGTCCAATGGGACTGATGGGAGTTATCTCCTGAGGAACAGTAATGAAGGGGAAGGCTGCTTCGCCCTGTCTGTCAGGTCAGTCCGCCTCTAACACCTCTTCTTTTTGTGGTCTGCTGGGGGGGGGGGGGGGGGCAGCATCAGAGCTGGTGACGCCAGCGGACTGAATAAACTCATTAAGAAAGCTGGCTCTGTCATCTGCGTTAAAATAGACACTTTTGATGCTGTGGTGGAGAGGAGGACACAAACAAACTGTTAACCCCCCCCCCCCCCCCCCCACCTGCAGCTGGACAGACAGATACACCCCCCCCCCCCCCCACACACACACACACACACCTGCAGCTGGACAGACAAGAGCTCCTTCTCCAACAGACTGCTGCAGCTCCGCTGTCACAAGGACAGATACAGGAAAACATTCCTGCCCACTGCAATAACTCTGTACAATAAATCACCTCTGGCTGGAAGAGAACTCTCTGCTCCATAGTTTCTCTTTGGTTAAATGGACTTATAACTTCACACTGTACATTTTACATTTATATTTAATTTAATATGCCATTATTGCACACTAAATGTAAATAATATCCTACTTTTATATTGTGTTAGCTGTAATTTAGCGCTTCACTAGTGTTACATTTGTCAGATAGTTTACAGGTTTGTATCTTGACTGTAAACTTTTATATTTTTCTTCTAATTGGAGATTTTTATATTGTACAATTGTTTATTTTCTACTTTTTTATTTCTAATTATGTGCAATACTTTGTTTTACATTCTGCTGCAACGAAAATGTCCCAATTTGGGATCAATAAAGTATATCTTATCTTATCTTATCTTAACAACCACTTATTCTGATCTGTTCTCAATCCCTGCTCTTGCCTAGGGGGATATCATATTATCCACAGGTAACAAAATAAATGTGTGTTAATATGGCCGTTGTCTTTCAGCTACTTCATCACATGTACTTGCTGTTGCATGAAAATAAACGTATAGAATACTAAGATGACTTAACTACGTGATCTTTATTTTGCATGTTAACAACTTTAAAAGTACATCACTAAATATTGTTTGTTTGTCATCTGACACACAGGGCAAAGGATTCCGTCAAACATTTCCACGTGACACGCAAAGATAACAGCTACTCGTTTGGCTTCAACGAGTACCCAACCCTTCAACATTTTGTCATTCACTTCGCTAATCATCCTCTGCTGGGCAGTGACGCAGGTACGTTATGACAAACTGCAAGTTACCGGCTAATACAGTGAAACGACACATTGCTCATTACATGTTTGTATTAAAAAGGTGGGAAGGGTGGTAACATTTTACAAGTTTTGAGTTATACAGCTAAATAGTGGAAAAACTAAAATGATAGGTTGATCTCAGACTAATCCAAGGCTGATCTCAGGCTGAGCTCTAGAGTCATCTGTGAATGATCTTGGGCTGATTTCAGACTGATATAAGGCTTATCTCAAGCTCATCTCAGGCTGATCTCAGACTGTTTTTAGGCTTTCTAAGGCTGGATTCAGATGTATCCCAGTCTAATCTCAGACTAATCCAAGGCTGATTTGAGACTGAGCTCAGGCAAATACAGCAGGATGAATTTTCATTTCTAATGTCTTGCCTGTGGTTGCCAGGGGGTCAGTCTATCTTTGCTCCGCATCATAGGATATTTTCCTTTGTAGGAAACACACAATTTGTCTCATTCTCGATTGGCCACACCTTTGTGTTGGGTTGCTGTATTTCTTAACTCTCTGCTGTAACTCTCTGCCTCTGAACCAGGAACCCTGATGGTGCTGAAGAGTCCGTATCCGTGGCGTGTGGAGGAGCCATCCATCTACGAGTCAGTGCGAGTTCACACAGCCGTAAAGACGGGCCGCACAGAAAACGACCTGGTGCCCACCGCACCATCGGTATGACAGCAGTTGATTCCAGAATATATCAAATATCTCTGTGATGTGACCAAAGTTACCTGCTCTAGGTTATGACGGGAATTTGACCCGCTGGACCTATTTCTGGACTTAAGACCTTCTATTTTGATTATTTGTGTTTATTGGGTAGCATTGTTTATATATAGTGCATATCACAGAATTCATGGTTCGGTACGTACCTCGGTTTGGGGGTCACGGTTCGGTACGGGTTCGGTACAACAAGAAAAAGCAAAAAAAAGTCCCAAATGCATAATTCCAGGTTTGTTGTTATTTATTTTTGAACAGTAGTGCAACTTTCAGTATACAAATAAGGAACTCTAACATTTTGAATAATTAACTGTATTACAAAGTTAAAAACAAACCACAAACAGTACCACACACACTCAGATGGCCATATTATCTATAATGGCTGATGTCAAACAAAAAGGTTTCATCAAGCTGTAAAACTAAAAAGAATGTCTTGAAAATATTACATAATAAATAATAAGAAAGTGTTTCAAGGGCGCATAGCAATTGAAATATATATGCCAATAGCTTCCGTTATTTCTTTTGGTCTCTCGGCTCCGGTGATTGGCAAATCTGGGTGATGCCTTCTGATATGATTTAGCATGTTTGGCGTGTGTTACCATTAGCATACCACACCAACGCCGACACACCGTCCTCGTCCGATCCACCACTCGCACTCCATCGTTATTGTAGTCCACAGCGAACCCGAAATGTTCCCACACAGCTGATTTAAACGAAGCAGGTGGGTCTTCTAGCTCCTGTGTGTTATCTGAAATCGGCATACTAACTTTTCTTCTTCTTGTATTTTGTTCGTTTTGTTGTGTTTTCTTCTTGTTCTTCATTTGTTGTTTAAGGGCGGCTGGCAAACAGCTTTTAGGCGCAATACCGCCCCCCTGGATTATATATAGTGGTATAGTATAATGGATACTGCCCTGAATCAGTGACAGACTTTTTTCCCACTCATAAAAAAAGGCGTATTCGTCGTGTGACTGCATGTGCCGGACCGTGACGTCCGGACCGTGACGTCTGAACCGTGACGGTTCGGGACGAATATGGATACCGTTTCACCCCTATAAAGCATATATTTTTCCTCCTAGGATAAGTAAGATCAATACTCCTTCGCAACAGGCACTTGGTGAAGTTTTTAAATGGGGACAAACTTGGAAAGATACATAATGGCGGGGGCATAAGCTTTCACCAGTGAATGAAGTTGTTGACATCATCATAACACGACTAGTTATGAACTTTTGCCCACAAACTACAAGAGTTGTATCTTGTGGTCAAAGGTCTTTGATCAGCAGTCGTTAGATGGAGGTTAATACCTCCGCCATGACACCAGCTGGTTTTATGTGATGGGGCTTCCATACTTGAGTTGACTTGCTGAACCAACCCCAGGACAATAAGCCAACATCTTTGTTGTTCTTCTTCTTCTGGCGTTTGTCTTTGGCATGTTCAGCTCCTGACATGCGAGCCAGGCCAATGTGTCATTGTCAATATCAGTCCTACAACGGTATCCATTTGCAGACCGCAAGAAGCATAGCTCTTTTAGGTCAAATGCTGAGGTCCAAGAACACTGCAGCTCAACGTTGAAGGCATTAACACTGCCAAGAACAACAACAACATGTTACAACTTCACTGTTCACTGATGAAGAACCTAAAAAAGCTGGTCAGTTGAGTGAATATGATTTTCAACGTTTGCTATAAATCTGAATTATCTAACATGAACTATGTGTTTTCAGCTAGGCACAAAGGAAGGCTATCTGACGAAACAAGGAGCATTTGTGAAGGTAAGATCAGTGGAGCTGGTACACCTCACTGTGTCTCAAACATAAACGAGTAGTTCTGTGTCTGATCAGACTTTTAATCTTTTGTGCAGAACTGGAAACAGAGATGGTTCACACTCAACAGATGTGAACTCAAATACTTCAAAGACAAAGGGGTGAATCTCTCTTTAGCCTAAAGGCGACGTTACTTCAAATATTTGATTACAGTATTTGGCTAATATTGAGTTTAATCTGCTCTTAGTCCTAGACAATCACTATTGGGACTTGTAGACAGTGTCTCTCTCTGTTCCAGAGTGAGGAGCCCATCCGGACCGTGGACCTCAGAGCCTGCTCTGCAGTACAGTTTGACTACTCTCAGGAACGAGTCAACTGTTTCTGGTAGGTGATGTAGTGGTAGGACCTTATTCAGCACTGAGAGGCTGCATTACTGATTTTGCATAAAGAGTGTGGAAATGTTTGTGTTTGCGTCGACTGTGGCTCGGAAGGTAGATGGTCTTCTACCAATCAGAAGGTCATTGGTGTGATTTTCAGCCCCTGCAGTCAACATGTCAATGTGTGCTCGGGCAAGATACTTAACCTCAAAACTCCCAGTGGCCTGAATCTGAGCCTTTCTTGAGCAGTTGGCACCTTGTATGGCAGCCTCTAACCCTAACCCTAACCCTACCATTACATCTTCCAAGGAAAGCTGCTTGTCATTTTAAATGAAGTCACTCAGAGTAATTTTTTCAGAATAAACTGGGCTGTTGTAGAGGCAAAGGGTTGTCTGAAGCTAAACACTATGCTGTCCAAGAATTCTGATTGATTTTCATTAACCCCGTTAAAGGTAGGGTAGGTAAGTTTGAGAAACCGGCTCGAGATACACTTTTTGTTATATTCCATGGAATGCTCTTAACATCCCGATAGCAATGAATATCTTAAGTGCTTTGACAAAATCCATAACAAAATGTCATCTGTGGAAGCCGTAGTACTGTAAAAAGCACGACCAATCATTTTAGCCGGCCCGGCTAAAATAACTGGATGGCCTACCTGCCTGTCAGCCTTCCATCTGTGCACAAACTTATCTCGTGCCCTCATTGGTCATGTGCGCGTTCGTGTGTGTTGGAGGAGGGGTTCTATAAGGAAGTGGCAGATTTTCTCCGGTTGTGTATTTTCAAATTCTAGCGATCTCGAGCCGGTTTCTCAAACTTACTACCTTTAAGCACATTAAAGAAAGTTCCATTCTTAGGTCAAGTTCAATCAGCTGATGAGGACCTTGCGATGTGTTTGAATGATTTTGAACATACATCAGGACTAAAATACCATGCTTACTTATGATGTTGAGTTACATAATCAGTTTATTGTGAGTAGGGGTGGCAATCAATTAAAACATTTAATCACAATTAATGGAATTATTGTCCAGCAGTGAATCGCTAATGAATTCAACCCTAAAGTATTTCAAACCTTATCCACTGTGCTTGCAAATGTAGTTGAATTATTGTGATGATAAATGTTGTACAGAAACCCTCCCGAATCGGAATCTAGGGACATCAACAGAAATGTACTAGTCGATACCGATACCAGTGAAATTCAATGATTTTAAATACCGAATGTATATTCAAACATCTGCTTTTATAAAATAGAAAAATCTTGCAATAGTAGTTTTAATAACAGTTGCTTAGAGCTGGTGTAACGAAGTTAAACAGGCCATCATTTTTTCTCTTATACCTATTCAAGACTCAAAGGTCTATTGTCATAACACATACACAACTAGGGTGAAGTTATGTAATGTATGAAAAACTTAGACCGCATGTTCTTCAACAGTGCAATTACAAGACATAAAAAAAAATATATAACAAAATAACAATAAAAACAGTGTTTAACGCAGTGTTTAACAGTCTTATGGCCTGTGGGATGAAACTGTCTCTGAGTCTGGTCTATCAATCAATCAATCAATCAATGTTTATTTATATAGCCCAATATCACAAATGTTACATTTGTCTCAGTGGACTTCACAGTTTGTACAGAATATCAGTATGACAATACGACACCCTCTGTCCTTAGACCCTCACATCGTACAAGGAAAAACTTCCAGAGAAAAACCCCACAGTTTAAAGGGAGAAATGGGAGAAACCTCAGGGAGAGCAACAGTGGAGGGATCCCTCTCCCAGTGCAATAGACAGTGATAGGTTCAGCCACGACTCGAAGTCCAGGACTCAAATCCAGAACTCAGGATAGAGGATCCAGGACTCAGGACCACAGCAACAGGATCAGCCACGACTCAGGATCCCGGCGTAGATAGACACCAAAAAGACATTTGGGGGAAGCTGGGTTATTCGGAACATGAGAGTACACAGGTACAGACAGACAGAAGGAAGAAGTAAGGTGTCCCCCGACAGTCTAAGCCTATAGCAGCAAAACTAACGTGTCTACGTTAGGGCTGTCAGTCGATTAAAATATTTAATCGCGATTAATCGCATGATTGTCCATAGTTAATCGCGATTAATCGCACATATTTTATCTGTTCTAAATGTACCTTAGAGGGATATTTTTCAAGTTTTGAATACTCTTATCAACATATGAGTGGACAAATATGCTTTATATGTTTGTTTATTATCATTTGAACAATGACAAATATTCTCATGAATATTAAACACAACAACCTGAACATTACAAATATTCGCCTCAATTCAACCTGGAACCTCTCTCATACAATAATACTGTGTGTGTGTGTGTGTGTGTGTGTGTGTGTGTGTGTGTGTGTGTGGTGTGTGTGTGTGTGTGTGTGTGTGTGTGTGTGTGTGTGTGTGTGTGTGTGTGTGTGTGTGTGTGTGTGTGTGTGTGTGTGTGTGTGTGTGGTGTGTGTGTGTGTGTGTGTGTGTGTGTGTGTGTGTGTGTGTGTGTGTGTGTGTGTGTGTGTGTGTGTGTGTGTGTGTGTGTGTTGTGTGTGTGTGTGTGTGTGTGTGTGTGTGTGTGTGTGTGTGTGTGTGTGTGTGGTGTGTGTGTGTGTGTGTGTGTGTGTGTGTGTGTGTGTGTGTGAATGTGGAGACACTGATGGATCGTTGCAGCTCAAGGCATATATGCTCGAACGGGAGCTGCCTGGACGCTGCAATCATGTTGCGCGCACTATCCGTGCTGAGTGTGCTGACTTTTCGTACAATGTCCCACTGTCTGGCTACCTGCATAAAGTCAAGTGCTCGGCGCAGTTGTCGGCAAAATGTTGCTCCTCTGTTTTCATTGAAACAGCTCCTTATATCCGTTAGCGCAGCTAGCTAGCACCAGATGCTAACAACAACACGTAAGGTGTGCTTCGCTCGCGCCACACATACACACACCCCCGGTCCTCCCGATGGCCAGTCCGGGCCTGCCGGGGAGCGTGGAAGTGTGGTCTGCCACACGCGGGCGGCAGGAGCGGGGCTGTCAGCATCAGCTTAGATGGTATTTTAAACTCGATGCGCTCTGAAACTACGGGGCGGCCGAGGACAAAAAATACACATGCGTTAATCGCGTTAAAATAATTAGTGGCGTTAATTTTTTTTTCGTTATTAACGCGTTAACTTGACAGCCCTAGTCTACGTACATGCACTCCCTTAGGATAGGTTGAGGGATAAGGGGTAGCAAGTAAGGAACAGAGGTGGAGAGGCACAACGTGTCTACGTACATGCACTCCCTTAGGATAGGTTGAGGGAAAAGGGTAGCAAGTAGGAAGTAAGGAACAGAGGTGGAGAGGCACAACGTGTCTACGTACATGCACTCCCTTAGGATAGGTTGAGGGAAAAGGGTAGCAAGTAAGAAGTAAGGAACAGAGGTGGAGAGGCACAACGTGTCTACGTACATGCACTCCCTTAGGATAGGTTGAGGGAAAAGGGTAGCAAGTAAGAAGTAAGGAACAGAGGTGGAGAGGCACAACGTGTCTACGTACATGCACTCCCTTAGGATAGGCTGAGGGAAAAGAGTAGGAACTAAGATGTATGCGCCACATCTATACCATGAGCGCATTGCTCCTAAAACGTTTTTTTGGCACTGACACCAATCAACAGTTGTGCGTCGACTCGGCAGGGATCAAGGCACGTATATGCCTCTCCCTGCTTCCACCGTCTACACACACATAGTCCTGATGCTGCGGTACCGCCTGCCAGACGGCAGCAGACAGAACAGTTTGTGGCTGGGGTGATGGGGGTCTTTGATAATCCTGTAGGCTTGTCCATGTTGAACCTCCTCAGCCTGCGGAGGAAGAAGAGCCGCTGTCAAGCTTTTTTGGTGATGGTGGTGGTGTGAAGAGTCCATGTCAGGTCCTCAGTGATGTGGACACCGAGGAACCTGAAGCAGCTGACTCTCCACCGTAGTCCCATTGATGGCGATGGGGGCGTGTCCCTCTCCCTGCTGCTTCCTGTAATCCACAATCAGCTCCTTTGTTTTGCTGAGGTTGAGATGGAGGTTGTTATCCTGGCACCAAGATGTCAGGTTTTCTCTCTGTACGCCGTCTCGTCGCCGTCGGTGATCTGGCCGATGACGGTCGTGTCGTCAGCCAACTTCACGTTGGTGTTGGAGCTGTGTGTGGCCACACAGTCGTGTGTGAACAGGGAGTAGAGGAGAGGGCTGAGCACGCAGCCTTGAGGGGCTCCGGTGTTGAGGATTTATAGTGCTGTGCAATTTCTCACCTAAAACTCAATTTTACAAAATGCAGTTTGAACAAATCGTGATAAAAATAATTGAACCTTTCACCTATACTAATTTTTACAGCAAAGACCTCGAACACATCATAATGTATCTGAATGGAACCGAGTAGGACCGTGCTGCCCTGTGCCTTCTAAGTAAAAATATGTTAAGGTGGTACATTTGAAGCAACGGTGTGAAGTATAAAGCACTTGTTGAGTGTAGCGTGTAGTCAATAAGGGTGCTCCTCCCTCCTGCAATTCCACTTCTGAAATAGGAAATAGCCTACATATTTTAATGAAAAAATTATTTAAGGGTTGAAGAACTGGAATAAAAAACTGTACAAAAGATAATGAAAAAAGTGAACGAAAAATGCTATTTTACTAAAGAGATAAAAATATAAGAAAAATATAGACAATTCATTTCAGATGACAGCCACACTATGAAGAGATGAGCTACAGCAAGGCTCTCTGAGGCAACTTCCCCATGGCAGCAACATATTAGTATTTACAAAAAAGGGGAAGTCGTTCAATAAGAGAAGGAAATGGGGGGAGGGAGGGAGAGGTGCACAGTAACTAAAGGGTAGCTGTGGATTTGCAGAGGTTACCACCTTAACCTTTCACACACAGTCCACTGCTGCTTAGTTATCTATCTAAACTGCGGGATAACAGGGTTTGTGTTACAACCCACATGTTATGGCCCTGATTTACTTTTGGCCATTGAGTGACCGCTGAGGCTCAAGGGTTAAAAACAAGGAAGAAAAATCAGTAAAACCATTTTGTAGGGAACCTATACTTTGATCTTAAGAACAGGCTTCTCTAGACCTAACCAAGGCTAATGACTCTGACTCAAGAGATGAGATCAAATACCTTGGGTAAAAACCAGATGATCCAATGTAATGCTCTCCTCTTCTCTTTGTGTCCACAGCTTAGTGTTTCCTGAAAGGACATTTTATCTCTGTACAAAGACGGGAGTGGAGGCAGATGAGTGGATCAAGATCCTCAGGTGGAAACTGGTGAGTTTGTTCAGAATGAATATGTTACTTCGGCAGGAAGTGCAACTCAAACTGATGAAGGGTCTATGCCTTCCAATCCTGAAGCACCCCCCAGGATTGCCAAAGCACCCCCTAACCACCCCCAAGAAATATATGTGGGTTTTCTTTTCTTTCTTTTTTTGTTGGAAAAAATCAATGCAAATGTGAAACAAACTAATTTTTGACCAAAAACATAAAGCCAACACAGGTGTTATGATTAGGCCAATGGCCAGCACCCATTAGATTTTTGACCTACCCATAGGCTAAATTACTTTGTGACACTTGAGTGACTTCCTGTTAGCTAGAGCGCCAAATTATTTGCTAACAGCAAAGTGAAAAATTGATCATTTTTTAGTCCTTAAACGTCCACGTGTGGACACTCAATCAAAACCACCTGAAAGCGAGAGGGATTCTGCACATAATAGGCCTCGTGAGGCAAAGGCTGAAGGTGTCACGGTCACCGACCAGGAGGAGGACCAAGAAAAGCTGTGGGAGGATGGAGATGAGGAGGAAAGCGTGGAAATGCCCGGCCCCGCGGCTGCACCTGCTGCTGCGGAGGAGGAGGACATAAGTAACAATCCCCAAGAGGGCCCAAGACGGCCAATTCTTCAAAAATACCCCACACGGCCATTTGGAAATCAGAGATGTTTCTATAAAGGCTGGATGGATCAACATGTGTGGTTAGAATACAGCGTGTCCAAAGACGCAGCGTTTTGCTTTGCTTGTTGGCACTTTTCAAAACGAGTGCACGGAGTACAACCAGCATTCATCTACAACGGGTTCAACAACTGGCGAAAAGCATCAGCGACTCTGAACACTCATCATGAAAGTGCGGCGCACAAGTTTGCTATGGAAACATGGAGTGAGTTTAAACAAAAACAGACAAGTGGCTCAAAAATAGCAAGGGACATTCAGCTTTGGTTATGGAGAACCGAAAGTACATGCAGGCCGTGGTTGAAAGCCTTCGCTATACCGCTTGTCAGGGAATCGCACAGCGAGGTCACAGCGAGGTCACAGCGAGGGTGGGGGCTCCTCTAATAGGGGTAATTTTCTCGAGCTTTTGCACCTCATCAAAATGTTTGATGTTACAGTGGATAAAAAATTGGCAAGCAATCCATCAAATGCCAAATACACTCACCATGACATACAGAACAAATTATTTGATATAATGGCTGATATGATACGAAAATAAATAAGTGATGAGGTGGGGGAAGCAGAGTACTTTGCTGTTTTGGTGGATGAAAGTAAAGACATTAGTAAGAAGGAACAGATTTCAGTGATCGTGCGGTATTTACAGCCACTGACAGAGACGTTGCATGAGGAATCCTTGCATTTCACCCCAGCAGATGGGTTAGACGCAGACTCACTACTAAACAGCATAAAGCTTACACTCAGTCAGTGTAATATAGACATTAATGGTTGTGTTGGCCAGTGCTATGACGGAGCATCTGTAATGTCAGGATGTAACAATGGAGTGCAGGAAAAGTTCAGGAAAGAAGTGCCACAGGCAATTTATATACATTGCCATGCTCATAGGCTCAACTTGGTGCTGGTGGACTGTGTGCATAATGTCAACGCTACAGCAGAGTTTTTTGAGACACTACAAATGCTCTACAAGTTTTTCTCTGGGTCAGTGGTGCACGATCTGTTCATGAAAAAACAAAAGGAACTGGAGCCAACAGCACAGTGCGTAGAACTCAAGAAGCTGAATGATACTCGCTGGGCATGCCAATATAATGCAATCTGGGCAGTCAAGAAAACTCTCCCAGCAATCCTGGCTACCCTGCGTGACATCATCGGCCTGTCAAATCCACACCGGAGGACAGAGGCGAGAGCTCTCAGTGCAATCATGGACGAGACATTTGTTGTACATCTCATTATTTTCGAGGATGTATTCAGAACAACCAAGTTCATGTCGGATCAGCTTCAGTCCGCTACTTTCGATCTTGAAGCGGCAGATGATCTGGCCCAGTCTGTTACCACTGCCATATCTGAAAAGCGGACAGAGGACAAGTGGAGGGAAATCCGAAATGAAGCAGAAAGTCTGTGCGTGAACGCAGGAATTGCACCACAGACGCAACGTGAGAGAAGGCGGGCCCAAACATCTCGACATCTGGAGGGGTTTGTAGAAGCCCCGTTAGAAAGAGCACGCTTAGACACAGATGACCTGAGAACACACTCGTTCTATCCTGTTATAGACAGGTTGTTAATGGAGATGAAACGTCGCTTTTCAACAGAAACCAATGAAGTATGAGAGGTGTGTCCGCCCTGAGCCCCAAACACACATCATTTCTGGACAAAAAAATGATACTGCCCATGGCCCGCCACTATGGAATCAGTGAGGAAAACCTGTCTGCAGAGCTTTACCAAGTTCGCCGGCTGTTGCAAAGAAAAGAAGAACAGGGACATACTATCACCAGCACCAAGGAGTTTCTATCCCTCATGAGGCCAGACAGAGATGCATTTATAGACTTGTACAAACTGATATGCATATCTCTGAGACTTCCCGTGACCTCAGTGAGCTGTGAGCGCAGTTTTTCTTGTCTGCGTCGTTTGAAAAACTACCTGAGGAACACCAGTGGGGACTCTCGAACCAGTAACCTGGCACTGTTGGCTATAAACACCGTGAGAACAAGGACGCTGGACAGCGACAAAATCATTGATGCATTTGCCCTCAACCACAACAACAGACGCATTGTTTTGTTATGAAGACGTCTAATGGTAAGTGCATGATGATGCACCCCCTCTGTTGCCTATTATAAATGTAATGCATTGATGGTTGAGGCAAACATTCTGACTGTTTATAGTTGTTTCTATGTGGCCTACTTGTGTTTAATTTTATGTTCAGAGCCAGAGGTGTGTTAGGCTTGTGGACCTTACCCGCTGTAACAGTTGTAAATATGCAGTGGTGTTTGTTTGTACATCATTTAAATTAGTGTAATCACACTAATTTGTTTACTTATGTTCAATACCTGACAAGGTCGGAGATCAGTGGGCGGAACTTCTGAAATGTAGTCACTGTACTTTTTGTGGGTACACCCCCCCCTTTATATTGTGTCCCTTACGTTTCCTCTTCCCTTTTTGTTTTTGTAAATGTTTCCACGTGAGAGGAGTCACTGTGAGGGATACAAAATGTTATACTGATTTGTTATCTGTTGTCAGATTGTCAGTGATTAAAAGGAAATCGTCTGAACTGTATGCTGGCTCGGGTCTCATCCATCCATGAACAACGCAAAACACAACGCAGAGACCGCTTAATGTTGCTCTCAAAGTGCACCAATTGATGCATTTAACTTCAATATTTAAAAAAAAATCTTCATGGGGGAGCATGCCCCCGGACCCTCCTATAGGAGGTTAGGTCCACTCCCCACTTGTAAAAACAGCACTTTACCCCTGCTTACACCTATATGCCGTGAGCTGATTATCGAGCCTTCATTGTAACAGTCGTGGTTGTACTGTGTATGTGCGTGTGGGGAGTGTTGTAGTAGAAAATTCAACTGTAGCGCTGGTGCATTAATGGGAAACCCTAAATGTTTGAGCACCCTCTATGAAACGTCAAGCTACCCCACAGCACCCCCTAGAGAAAATCTCTGGCGCCGCCACTGGAGGGTCCAGACTTTAGAAGAAGACAGGACAGGTTAAGGGAAAGTTGATTAGTACAACAAGTGACAAGAGTGATAAATGAGTCATTCACAGCTTGTGAACCCACTTCCTTAAGTCAACCACTGTTCTTCTGTTGGTTAAACACACTTATCTTTGTAGTACATTACATTTACATTTACAAGTGTTCTGAGGTGGCAGCAGCACTTTAATGTTGACTTGGCTTTCAACTGTTAGGCTTCCAGGGCTGGGATCATTTGCATTGTCATTGCGCTTGAAACCTTGGCCAAAAAAACGATTCTCTTTTGTGTTATTGATAGCTCGATATATATTCACTGTTGATTGCACTTATTGTAAGGTGCTTTGGTTAGAAGCTAAATGTAATGCAATGTATTCTCTGTTTTCAGTCACAGATAAACAAAGGTCGGTGACAGCTGTCAGCAAAGAGCCAGGAGATGAAGGGAAGGAACAATGAAGGAGAGCCCCATTAACATGTGAAGGGTTTAGCATCCCAAAGTGTAGCATCACATTAAGGCTGGCCTGGATGTGGCTCAGTCACCAGCGTGCTGTTGGCTTCTATGACCCTCGGGACCTCAAAGATATTGCTAGCATGAATCCATAAGAGCATCTCTCAGTACTTCCTTCATTCAATGTGTTTTTGGTTAGATGCCTACCCATAAAATATGTCAGTAAATACAAAAACCTGCAGGTATCATGAATGTGTGTTTGCCACAGAGCTTATTTCCTGCAAAATTCCCAAACCACATGGAGAAATCCCATTGCTTCGTCGATAGAGCACTTGTGATGCTAACGTCTGGGTTGGCCTACGTCATCACTGCACCACTATTTTGGTTCCCAGTGGTGAGGAACAGCTAAGGCTGATCACTGTTACACAGAAGTGCCAAACAATAATCAAACAATTATATTCCGCTTTACACGAATTCGGTTTCCATAAACTACATGTCCCACAGTGAATCTTGATTTTGTTACCGGCTCACTGAAATCTCTTAAAAATGTTGCCGTTTCTTAAGTCAAGTCATGTAATCATAAAGAGTATAAACTGAACCAAAATGTCTAACGTCAAAAGAAAAGTACATGTTAGAAAAGAGAATTGGAGGGATGAAACCCTCACACATGCAGAGCACACAGCACACACAGTGAAATGTGGCCTCTGCATTGAACCCATCCTAGTAGTAGGAGCAGTGGGCAGCTATTGTACAGCGCCCGGGGAGCAATGGGAGTGAGGGGGGAAGGGGGGTGTGAGGGGGGATTTCTTCTTTGCCACTAGGCAGTGATGATGCCCAAATGATACACTTTACAGGGGTACACATTAGTTTATTTGTCAAACTCATTTTTTAAATAAATTGTTAAAAATACTTGAAGTCTGATTGCAATTATTTTCTCTAAACTTCTGCTTTCAAAGCTCGTTATCAACCAAGTTATGACTAAAACCAGTGTTGGGGAAATATGTTCCTAGGCCCACACCTTTGACCCAGTTGATCAGTCTGGACTGCCCTCACTGAGCTCCTGCACCTTGGCTGCTGTGCTCTCAGTGTTCTGTCTCCCTGTTCCTGCCTGTTGGCGTCAGCTGATAGAGGTGTTATGGTTCTATCTTGTTATGCACAATGTTGATTCTTCTCTCTGAACTAGCTAAATACACGGGTCTGGGGTAGAGTTCTTCAGAATTGGTTTGGCATTCTACTGTGTCAATTCGTGGAACAGCACGTCTTGTGAATTCTCCGGCTAAAGCTCCAAATAAACCATCAGTGTTTGCCACCAAAGTTCCTGCTCTCCTCGTGTCTCTCTGAGTTTCGTCTCCATTGCTTCCATCACAACCAGTCGTAATTGAATGCAGAGGCATTTATGTATTATGATTAAAAAAAAATTGCAATGTTATTAGGTAGGGTATGTAGAAAACAAGAGCGAAAATGTAGACGGAAGTTTACACTGACTGTTAAATAGGTATAGAAATAAATGTTCCTTATTTTGCAATGAAAGACAATAAAACAGGAACAGAATTGACATTTCTAGCTCATCCTGTTTATTCTAATTTATGAATAATTTCCATACAATGTAACGTTTCCATATTACACTTCATAGTGTTTAGCATGTGGACGACAACATGAGAAACCAAGTGTGAAGGGTTGAACTTTAAAAATACATGAAAAGTCCTCACATGGAAAATGAATCTACGGAGAAACGGACCTTTACCTAACAAACACAGGGGTTATCAATGTGTGTTTGTACATGACAAGATTAGCGATAACAAAAGACGACTGAAGTTGTTAACAGTAAACATTTATTGGGTTTTGCTGACATTGATTGGACATATAAATATGGTTGTGTCTAAAAAGCTGATCAGAAGAAGAAAGAGTCTACAGGTAAGGCAGAAAGCAAAGTCAACAGAAGGAGAAGTGAAGAATTCCATCATGATGTGAAGTGATGAAGAGGAGGTCTGTTTATGTGACCTCCACCACCTGCCTCAGCTCCTCTATGAGGGGAGCCAACTCCTTCTCCAGACTCATGATGAGACCTGAGGACACAATGCACGTGCTTACTTCAGATTAAGCATACATTTAGTTTTGACAGTGTGTGTTCTTCCTGGTGAGGCTCAAAAAGCAGCTAAGTGTGATGAACGGAATGTTATTATCTTATAAATCTGAAGAAGGTTTATTGCCAGGCAGGTTGACGCATACAAGGAATTTGATTTGGTGTATAATGGTGCATACATTTTATATTTTAAGTCTTCAGCTCAGTCCATGCTGTGGTGCAAGTACGAATCTGGCATGTGGTTCCTTTAAGAATATAATAATGGCTACACTGGTCAAAAAATAATCTAAAAATGAAAAAAAAAGTATTATGATTCTTAATCTGATCACTTTAAAAAGGCTGACACATGCTGACTTAAAAGATCCCGTTGTGTGTTCTATGTTCATTATTGTTTACAACATGTTGCTAACCCCATGTTGCTACCCCATTCTTTTCCTGGATTGTCAGAAAAAGTGATTGTAAATGGAAGATGTATAAGGTTTCTTCAGTTGCAGAGCTTAAACAATCTGAATGTTGGATGAACTTGTTGGAAAAGATCCCTGATCATTGATCATATCTGTGCTTGATTATTCTTGACTGAACCTTTGAAGACTTTGTACCTGTGTTGGCGTTGCTGGCGGCGATGAAGCTGATGACCAGCGGTAACCTGTTGAACTGCACAATCTGATCAACACAGAGGAAACACAAGTTAGGCTTGGGGTGTTAGTGCAGGATTTACAGTGTGTGTCAGCAAACAAAGCATCATGAAAACAAAGGTGTGTGAGCTGCTGGTGTGCAGTGTGCAGACGGAGCAGAGACCTGGTAGGTGTTGTAGTAGCAGATGATGCTCTTGTTCTTGGACAGGCCCAGCTTGCTGCCCTGGTCTGTGGCTAGAGCGAAGGTGGACAGGAAGCCCGGCCTCAGAGCGTGCACCGGGGCGTTGTCATTGGCAACTGCAGGGACACAGAGGCAATGTTACCAACAACAACCAGCCAGACAGGGAACTGCTGCTCTCCCAGACCGCTGATGCAACCTACAACTCACTTTAAGTCAAACACACTACCGACACAACTCTGACAGTCCCTTGCTGAATCTGACTGATCCATTCAACACATTGATAGGAAGGCTGAAGAACGACATCAGGAAGGTACTGTATGTAGCTTAATGTTTTATAACAGTCGGCTATTTCTTTTTTATGTAATGCAAATCTACACCATGCGACTTAACACAGAAGAGTTATATTGTATATTAGTGTTACTACATACCAGAATTAAAACAGCGCTTTACTTCAAGTTGACAGAAGCACGTCTTAATTAAAGTGTAATGAGCCAGACAGGCCTATATGTATTTTGTTTCTTTAATAAAAAGGGTTTATTCGGTTTTATTTGATATGAGAATATGTAGGCTAGGGCTGGAGGAAATTATTTTTAGGCTTGCACAGTTCATATTTAATTTTTTGCATGCTGTAATTCTGCCATTGAGGGGGCTCCGTTTTATCTGAAATAGCCTACTGTTCAGCGAAATATAAATCCACATGCCTTAATGATGTCACTCTTTGTATAGCCTTCCTATCAATTGTTCATTTTGAATTCCTCTAATCTGTCCGGGACAACAACATGTTCCTGGACACATTGACCAGCAGCTTTCTAGGTAAAGGCTGGTGTAGACTGTAGGATTGTTAGTTAGGAAAGCAATATTCTATATTCCAACTAATAACAGATAACACTAAGGAGAGTATGCTAAATATCACATGAGTGTTGGACTTTCACCAGGCCACTGCCATCGAGTGTTTATGGAACATTTAGATAACTAGGACCATAGGTGGAATAACAAGAAGCTGCCAGCAGACAGAGGAAGTCAGAAGTAGTACTGGATGCTGTTCTCAAAATGGCTCACACAGGAAGTAAAAGAAACAGAAAGCAAATCTTTTAGAAAGGGAGAGTTCTCTGTAGCCCACAGCAAAACCACAATATCATGGATAATTGAGGTGATCCTTTACTGTGGTTTGCAGTGGAAGAAAGTAGAGGAGAGGAAAAGGAGTACACTCATTGTCCAAGATGAGAGTGGAAAGGTTCAGAAAGGTTTCTTACCTTTAATAACTGGGACTCCATCCCTGTCTGTCACCACCACCGCATGCAGACCTTCCACACTGAAGGAAAACACAGAGTAGATGTTACACATGACCCTACACAATACATCCTTAAAGCTGGGCATTGGTTATACACACCTTTGCAGCTGTTTGTACAGGTATCTCTTCAAATCCTGTAAGACAAATGTGTTGGATGGAAAACAACAAGTTAGACACATGATAACAACAAGCTGTCTGTCAGTCTGACACAGTCAAAGTTAGCCAGAGAAGGAAGAAGTATTCAGATCCTTTACGTAAGCAAAAGTATTAATACCACACTGTTAGAATATTCTGTTGTCATTGAAAGTCCTGCATTGGAAATGTTAATTAAGTATAATTAAGATTATTATCAGCAAAATGTTGTTTAAGTATTAAACTTAAAAGTTACACAATGCAGAAAAATCTAAATGAAATGAAAAAATAACTCAAAATGTGTCAAATTAAAGAAATAAATCTACGTGTTTATGTTAATTTATCGACTAAGCAATTGTTCTATAAACTGTTGGCTAGTTTAATTTATGACCAAATATCATACTTTGTGTTTTTCATACAAAAATCTTTATTGTAAAGTAACAAGAAGTCATTGATTTGTGTTTTTTAGATGTGTTTATATTTGTATTTATATGCTCCTTTTCTCACATCAGCCATGATGATATGCAGAGCGGTCGGCAGCTGTGGGGAGAAACAGGCTCATTAGAGTTAAAGTTAGCTTCAGCGTGTGTTTATTTAACCGGACTGTATGAAGAAACAGAATACATTACACTGATGTTAGCTTTACCGTCTGTCAATAAGCTAACTGTATACAGAATAAAGGCTCCATTAGAATTCTCTGTCTCATAAGTTAAATGAGGAGACACAGGCTTCATTAGAGTAGCGTTAGCTTCACTATCTGTCAATATACGTCAACTGTAGGCAGAAACAAGCTTTGTTAGATTAACGTTGTCTTCATTGTATGTTAATATAAACTAAACTGGGAGACACAGGCTCTATTACAGTAACGTTAGCTTCACTTTCTGTTCATATGAATGCACTTTAGAAAGAAACAAACTCCTCGGTCAGGTTGACATGTTAGCTACTTAGCAAGATAGCAGCCGATATTTATCTCTTAGGTTTGTTCCTATAATAATAAAGTTAAACTAGTGCCTATAGTTAGGTTGACCTGTGCATGCAAAATTAATCTGAAATGCTATATTAACAAACTACACAAAATACAATATAAAACATGAAATGGGTTCACATACCTTACACTCTTCACGAGAGGCACTACCACTAATCACATGACAGCTTGTTTTGTTTCCGGCTCTGAAAGAAGTGTTGAGGAGAGTCGCTGCTGCGTAACACGTGACCGCAAACTGCGCACTGCGCTGCTTTCTTCTTCGTTGGTATTAATAGCGGATTACAGCTTTAATTAAAGGTGTCTTCCGCAACCTACTGTACCGGAGTGTGTAACAGCATGAATTATTATCAACTTTCTCATTACATTTAAGACATTTCAAAACACTTAAATCATGGATTTATATAAACAAAAAACATATTTCCGGATATGTTTGCTTTGAGCCTGAATTTAATGGACCAACTGGCCAGATGATCAAAATGCTTAGACTTTGTTCATGTATATGTTTAAAGGTGGGGTAGGTACATTTGAGAAACCGGCTCGAGATACACTTTTTGTTATATTCCATGGAATGCTCTTAACATCCCGATAGCAATGAATATCTCAAGTGCTTTGACAAAAAATCTATAAAGAAATGTCATCTGTAGAAGCCGTAGTACTGTAAAAAGCACGACCAATCATTTTAGCCGGCCCGGCTAAAATAACTGGATGGCCTACCTGCTTGTCAGCCTTCCATCTGTGCACAAACTTATCTCGTGCCCTCATTGGTCATGTGCGCGTTCATGTGTGTTGGAGGAGGGGCTCTGTAAGGAAGTGGCAGATCTTTTCCGGTTGTGTATTTTCAAATTCTAGCACACTCGAGCTGGTTTCTCCAAAATTACCTACCCCACCTTTAATTGCTTTAACAATCTTATACAAATAATTCTTTAAAAAAAAAGACCAAAATCAAACCATCTAATGGATTTGTAATACTTTGCCGAGCCACTGAATCCCATCCTAAATGTTATGGTTAT